GGAAGGTAATATGTGGGGTTGAAGATGTAAGAGCCTGCACCAATATTTAATTACTTTAGTCATGTAAGTGAGTTGTAAAGGAAACCTCACACATTCCCCTAAAACCATATTTGAGCAGGTTGATTTGTTTAGTTTTAAATAATGCTTACAAGAGGCGATTTGGATAGATTCGATTTTTTTACAATAGCAAGTACCCCAAATTTCAGAGCCATAGGTTAAGATGGGGGTGACCATAGAGTAAAAAACCTTAAACAGATCTGTACAAGTGATATTACCAATTAGATAGATATGTATACTACACTCGCGTGATAACCTCTATATCTGATCTGAAAGTATTACATTGACATATCTACATTCATACGTACATTGATATATCTACATTCATACCTACATTGACATATCTACATTCATACCTAAATTTGCATATCTACATTCATACGTACATTGACATATCTACATTCATACCTACATTGACATATCTACATTCATACCTACATTGATATATCTACATTCATACCTACATTGACATTTCTACATTCATACCTGCATTGACATATCTACATTCATACTTACATTGACATATCTACATTCATACCTACATTGGCATATCTACATTCATACGTACATTGACATATCTACATTCATACCTACATTGACATATCTACATTCATACCTACATTGACATTTCTACATTCATTTCTACATTGACATATCTACATTCATACCTACATTGACATATCTACATTCATACCTACATTGACATCTCTACATTCTTACGTACATTGACATTTCTACATTCATACCTAAATTGGCATATCTACATTCATACGTACATTGACATATCTACATTCATACCCACATTGACATATCTACATTCATACGTACATTGACATATCTACATTCATACCTACATTGATATATCTACATTCATACCTACATTGACATATCTACAGTCATACCTACATTGACATATCTACATTCATACCCACATTGACATATCTACATTCATACGTACATTGACATATCTACATTCATACGTACATTGATATATCTACATTCATACGTACATTGACATATCTACATTCATACGTACATTGACATATCTACATTCATACGTACATTGACATATCTACATTCATACGTACATTGACATATCTACATTCATACGTACAATGACATATATACATTTATACCTACATTGGCATATCGATGTAGGTATGAATGTAGATATGTCAATGTAGGTATGAATGTAGAAATGTCAATGTAGGTATGAATGTAGATATGTCAATGTAGGTATGAATGTAGATATGTCAATGTAGGTATGAATGTAGATATGCCAATGTAGGTATGAATGTAGATATGTCAATGTACGTATGAATGTAGATATATCAATGTACGTATGAATGTAGATATGTCAATGTAGGTATGAATGTAGATATGTCAATTCATACGTACATTGATATATCTACATTCATACGTACATTGACATATCTACATTCATACCTACATTGACATTTCTACATTCATTTCTACATTGACATATCTACATTCATACCTACATTGACATATCTACATTCATACGTACATTGATATATCTACATTCATAACTACATTGACATATCTACATTCATACCTAAATTTGCATATCTACATTCATACGTACATTGACATATCTACATCCATACCTACATTGACATATCTACATTCATACCTACATTGATATATCTACATTCATACGTACATTGACATATCTACATTCATACCTACATTGGCATATCTACATTCATACCTACATTGACAAATCTACATTCATACCTACATTGACATATCTACATTCATACGTACATTGACATATCTACATTCATACGTACATTGATATATCTACATTCATACCTACATTGACATATCTACAGTCACACCTTCATTGACACATCTACATTCATACCAACCTTGACATATCTACATTCATACGTACATTGACATATCTACATTCATACGTACATTGATATATCTACATTCATACGTACATTGACATATCTACATTCATACCTACATTGACATATCTACATTCATACGTACATTGACATATCTACATTCATACGTACATTGACATATCTACATTCATACGTACATTGACATATTTACATTTATACCTACATTGGCATATCTAAATTCATACGTACATTGACATTTCTACATTCATACCTACACATGACATATCTACATTCATACCTACATTGACATTTCTACATTCATACCTACATTGGCATATCTACATTCATACGTACATTGACATATCTACATTCATACCTACATTGACATATCTACATTCATACCTACATTGACATATCTGCATTCATACGTACATTGACATATCTACATTCATACCTACATTGATATATCTACATTCATACCTACATTGACATATCTACAGTCATACCTACATTGACATATCTACATTCATACCCACATTGACATATCTACATTCATACCTACATTGACATATCTACATTCATACGTACAATGAGATATATACATTTATACCTACATTGGCATATCGATGTAGGTATGAATGTAGATATGTCAATGTAGGTATGAATGTAGAAATGTCAATGTAGGTATGAATGTAGATATGTCAATGTAGGTATGAATGTAGATATGTCAATGTAGGTATGAATGTAGATATGCCAATGTAGGTATGAATGTAGATATGTCAATGTACGTATGAATGTAGATATATCAATGTAGGTATGAATGTAGATATGTCAATGTAGGTATGAATGTAGATATGTCAATTCATACGTACATTGATATATCTACATTCATAGGTACATTAACATATCTACATTCATACGTACATTGACATTTCTACATTCATTTCTACATTGACATATCTACATTCATACCTACATTGATATATCTACATTCATACCTACATTGATATATCTACATTCATACCTACATTGACATATCTACATTCATACCTAAATTTGCATATCTACATTCATACGTACATTGACATATCTACATCCATACCTACATTGACATATCTACATTCATACCTACATTGATATATCTACATTCATACGTACATTGACATATCTACATTCATACCTACATTGGCATATCTACATTCATACGTACATTGACATATCTACATTCATACGTACATTGACATATCTACATTCATACGTACATTGACATATCTACATTCATACCTACATTGACATATCTACATTCATACCTACATTGACATTTCTACATTCATACGTACATTGACATATCTATATTAATACCTACATTGACATATCTACATTCATACGTACATTGACATATCTAAATTCATATGTACATTGATATATCTATATTCATACCTACATTGACATATCTACATTCATACCTACATTGATATATCTACATTCATACCTACATTGACATATCTACATTCATACCTACATTGACATATCTACATTCATACGTACATTGACATATCTACATTTATACCTACATTGACATATCTACATCCGTACGTACATTGATATATCTACATTCAAACCTACATTGATATATCTACATTCATACCTACATTGATATATCTACATTCATACCTACATTGACATATCTACATTCATACGTACATTGATATATCTACATTCATACCTACATTGACATATCTACATTCATACCTACATTGACATATCTACATTCATACCTACATTGGCATATCTACTTTCATACCTACATTGACATATCTATATTGATGTACCTACATTCATAGCTTGGCATACCTACACTGACATATCTACAGTAATATCTACATTCATACCTCGGTCACAGATCAATGTGTTCAGCTGATATGCATGGTTACAATAATAAACACTATTGCGACACTATTGCAATATAGGTACACACTGTTGTGAAAGTATTACGATCGTTTGTATGGCACCTCTGCTGTCAATGTCGTTGAATTACCCGGCAAGATGTGAGTATTGTCTGGTATAAATGTAGGACATGTTTTCTGAACTGACAAGTGTATCCTCAAGTAAGGTTCTTTGGACCAAAGTTACATTGTAAGTGTTTTTATTGTTATGAATAACATGATCTCTTTCATCCGTTTAACTCTTTTGAAAATATGGATAGTGTAGGTCCCCATAAATATCAACTACTGATATCTTGACTTGATGAACATGAATTGCGGTGCAGAGATAACTTGGTTGATTTTAATCCGTTCTCATATATAAACACGTTGTCCACGTACAAAAGCTTATGTCATGGCTGAATGTCCAACCATCATGCACAATGCTACGTTTTTATAACTACTCATTTTGCGAAACTGAAGTTTTGAAGTTGAACAATTGACTTGCCTTTGCATGTGTTTGTGATGGGTGCAACTGGTGGGGCAGAATATTTTCACCTTCTCGCGAATACCTGGGTCCACTTGCACAAAGATATCTTAGCACTGGGATGATCGTAGCTCCCTTACTTTAATATAAACTTACAATAGTCGTAGTGCTAAGATCTCTTTGTGCAACTGGGCCCAGGCATCATCACTATTTGATAGTGATTCATAAACACATGCTCATGATCTAGTCGGAATCATATAATCAACTCTGCTTTTAGCAGCGATTTCTTATGAATATGGAAAAGGTTTTGTCGATTTTTTCACAAAATTGTTCTACGATTTTAATTCATGGCTAAAATACCATAGAAGCCATTTCCAAATGTCATGTTGACTCGATCCATCTATATGTATCAGCTTGTATGTATATTGTTTTGATTTATGCGTAGTTGGATTATGTTATGACGTTTAAAATTCCACCTTGGCTTATAACGAACATTACATTTTTACACTGAGTTTATGAAGCTGGTATAGTTGTTTATTGATCAGAACACGTATACTTGTTATCTGCTCCACTATTGTGCAAAATGTAAACATTGTGATTCAATGGTTGGGTATTCTCGTGTTACGTGTAATCACAATGCAAAGCGTCGGGGACTTGAGCAGGTCAGGGGTCGGGTGTGTGTGTCTGATTCAAGCTCTGTCCTGTTACCGACTGTACTGCTTCTAGGGCGACCGTTCATTTGTCACAGACACAAATTATGCTACTATGATTCCACAACAATCCACCGGTTACCTGTGTGCTCTGTTACTATATCCGTGTCTGTCCTACACAGGTAAGAAAATATAAGATCTATCATTTAAGTGAACTAGGTTAGGTGAAATTGGGCTCAACGTCGCGTCCAAGATTATTGTACTTATATAGCGATGTGCCGACCAGTCCTTGTTTTAGCCCCTTAATGCCGAGCGCCAGACAGGGTAACAACAAGCACCATCTTTTAACGTCTTTTGGTATGAAGCAACCGGGGATCGAACCGCCCGACCACTAGACCACGGAGGCTGTTTCAAGTGAACTAAATTGTGTCACACAAAGGTAGATATCGTAAGCGTAGTACTCATTTTTCGTTCATTTAGGTAAAGACATTGGGGTTACAAATACAAATGTGTACCCTCATATTCTATCTATCTTTGTTTCAGTATCTGGTGAAGACGCTTGTCCCTGTGTGACTGGCTCCAACTGCTCCGAGAACTGTACATTAGGTAATGTGAATCTCCGCGGAGGATTGTTAAACTGAAACGTATTCATGCTATTCTATATCATAATTCAACTTCGAGGTAAGGACAAGGTAAGACAAGGGCTCCTTTTCAACACTGGAATTGTCAAATTTTGATACAGCAATAAACTTGGTAATGTAAAAGGTATGGGAATTATCACACACTTTCAAATGGCTGACAACTACAGTTTGTTTTTTGAACGGTTACACGGTTTGGACTTCACACATGAATAATTACATATAAAAGTATGTCTAAAGCGAGTAAAAAGTTAAGTATGAGCAAGTCAAAGACTTACTCGTGTTCAAACGTTAGAAAAAAACATTTACCTAACACCTCTACACATCAATTGTTTCAACTATTTTTAGTTTACTGTGTATTAAGTGTTGTTATAAGACCCAAACACACGATATTTGAAATGAATAACACCTAGTTCTCTCTTGGAAAGTGCTCTCTTCGAAAGCGTAATAACACACGGGTACAGTGATGCGCTACCCTAGAACAAGGAGTAAAGGGGTCAGAGGTAGATATTAACGTAACTAGAAGAACTAAGGTTCAAGATTAAAATACTCACTGTTTTGACTAGTTCACATTTTTTTCAAGAAGAAGAAGTTGTCAAATAACCCCCCAAGTCCTATTTTCATCACAACCTTCATATTTGACGTGCTTGGGCTCAACCAAGTCATTTCTTGGAAATCATTGAGACAAGTCATTTCTTCGAAATTAACAGGTCACCTTCAATTGTGGGGGTGACAGGTTGTAAAAATAATGAAACGCCCCGCAAAACTAAAACATTTCTTACCAAACTTTGTTGATTAACATGTGCTTTGTTATAAATGTTCACGTTTTATTAGTTCGTTAGCAATTATGCCAAGTAAATGATATAAATTAAAAAAAACACTCTCCAACCCGAACTGGGATGTGGATGAAATTTACCTACATGGGATTACTCGTCACTACTTTCAATGGCTGCCAAGGATTTTGTTGACAGTCTCGATACTATAGTGACAAGTGATGGAAGATGACAACCCTGACCAATGATGTTGTTCAACTGTAACCTGTAGATTTACTGGGAATGATACTGTTAGCACAACGTGATTGTAAATGCAGTTTTCGTGGCCTTTTGGAAAATATGTCCCACTGTACTTTCAAATCCTCTCCTACCAATCCTAACGTTGGGGGTTAACGGCGTTGGCCATGAATATCGGTCACACAAAGATTTTTAAACAACATGTTGTCATGAATATAGGTTTTTAAAATACTATTTTGTTATATCTAATTTTACTTTATTATCTTTTATTACCGATCATGTCCCTGAGAGATTTATAAACGTTATCGTTTCTATGCTAAATTTATGCCTTAGTATTTGACAATGATTCATAAACACGTGCTCATGATATAGTCGGAATTGTGCAATCGACCATACTTTATGCATAGATTTCTATTGGATATGGAAAGGGTTTTGTCGCTTTATTTATTCCATCAGAAACATCCATTTTGTACCCCCTATTCAGTACTTCCGACCAGAGAAACGGGTGATCCACAATAGACCGCAAGGTTCATATGCATATTCATTCATCAATTTTGCTGGTCAAAATTTTAGGTAATAATTCAATTGCCAAGAATAATTCAATTGCCATGAATTAGTAATAATCTGTATATTCATTGGTGTTAAATTAGTTAATAATTGCCAGGAATTGGAGTGATAGACGCACCAATGTCGTGTATCAAAAGATTTTAGAACAGCAATTTAATGGAATAAATATATCGTCAGTTTTCTATGCAGTGATATATATCGATGTAGATAGAGAGTACATCTGCAGTGTGTTACAGTACAAGCAAAACTATATTAATCCCAGAACTGGCTGAAAAATGCAGGGAAGTATAGTTTATCCAGCTAACATCTTGTATCAATTCCTCCTAAATTAATCTTAAAACGTTGTTGTCATGAAGTGTTTAAGATACAAGTCGTCGTACAGAGCACAATTTAATAACATTCGCAGTGAATATAGCTCCACAAGCAACGAGTAACTTTTCATCTGGGTACAACATAAACTACACCATCACCGGTCAGGCAGCCTGGGTTACTGACGGTGTGACGTCAGGGCCGTGTGCATCAGTCTCGTCCCTATATCCCGTATGGAAGGCTGAGTTTGAACAGAACAGGACGGTCAACAGGATAAAGATATTCTGGGCAGGTACTGAAAATGGCATATCGAATTAACCTGACGCGTGAACGTGTAAGCCAATTTTCCCTTGTCAATACAACCACATTCTCCTATTTTTGTTAACGAGTTCTTTGTTATATGGAATATATACTTATAACAAGATAACTTTGTGTGTATCATATGGATAATAAGAAAAGGACTTTCCCCATCCATGGTGTAACTGTTCTGTATCACCATATACATTGCAAGTTACAACTGTTACATTATTTCTTTCACGTTACATAATACTTCTTACAGGTCAACATGATGACATAACTGTGTCTGTAGGTAGCAAAACATGTCACACCCCGGACTCCAACTACACATGGATGTCAGAATACACCCTGGTCTGTGGTGTACCACTGACGGGAAGCAACCTCGTGATGTATCGCCAACCTACAGGAGGGATGCTGCATCTGAGTCTCTGTGAGGTGGAAATATATGGTAAATCATTATGGACTCATCTGAGGGCATTAATTACTTTGGCTTTGAAACTACTTATATTTATATTAATTAAAGGAAAATCGATGATGTACAAAACCTTTACGCTTTTGAAATGCGCAAGAGAAAGTGTAAAACAAATATAGGAATGAACTTATCTGTCTATAGGCATAAATGTTTGTTGGTAACGAATTTGTTCACATGTATTGCAAGACCAGAGCCAGATCGTCGCACCATTAAAGTGTGAAAAATAGCGGCATAACCTCCAATCAAAGTCTGGACTGGGGAGTAATTGCTGGAGATAGAGCTTACATATAACATATCACAAGCTCACTTAACCTAAAATGTGTCTTAAAACATTAATACGGCAACTAGCTTCACCACGTTTTATCGATACTGGACAAAAATAAACTACCTATGACTTTTTTGCGAATGTTCTATGATAACTGACCAATATACTAATGAGTAATTACGCGTTCCAACATAGTACTATTTTTAATACGTTCTTGATGTCATGGTAGAATGGAGACAGACCTTCTCGCTCCTAATTATATTTAGGACTATCTAATTTACACTTAGACTACATCTAATTTGAAAGCACAGTAGGTTTTTCTCCAAAATGTCACCTTACGTTACTGTTTTGATGAATATTTTTATACGATACTAGTTCATTAAATACATAATTTCCTGATGTCCGTAGTAGAAGGTTATATGTCAAGTGACAATTCATGTATTACATGGAAACGAACCCTAACCTGAACAGCCTAAGAGATGGGCATCAGTCACAACAACCTCGTTCAATTTCAGGGTGTAAAGAGATTTTTTCATGTTCACAGATTTTGTAAAGGCAATATCCCTTTAATGTCATTATCCCATTTATCTGACTTTTATCTGACTTTTATCTGCCAAAACGATGTTTGATGAAATAAATGAAAATATTTGCAGTGAGCTTTGATATGTTCGTAGATGTTGCCAAAGAATTGCCCTATCGATGTCATTATCTGGCTGTTTATCGACTCTGTATTACTGAATTATGTGACATCGACCTGATGAGTGAGAAGCACAGACATAGGCATTTCTTTTTGTTACAAATTCTACTGAATTTTACATAAATACTACAAGAACAACTAAATGTCTGCTTTCGCTCTCTTCAGCTATACCAATGCCCACAACGACTACCTCTTCCGTGTTCACAACATCGCCTCCTGTATCACCCATCAGCGTCTCCAGCAGCGCCACAACGTCATCTACAAAATCATCCACCAAACTTCTAGATGCTGCAGGTACAGGTAAGTGATCATGTCGGAGAGTCTAAGTCACTGATAGAGTGAACACATTTCTTACGTTTTTCATAAGCAAGTTTTCTAAAAGATGCTTGATGCTGATGGGAGTCGACAAAAATGCGATTCTCATCGGTCAACATACATACACACACACCCACACACACACCCACACACACACACACACACATACACACACACACACACACCCACACCCACACCCACACCCACACCCACACCCACACCCACACACACACAAAATATATGCAGTGAGCTTTGATATGTTCGTAGATGTTGCCAAAGAATTGCCCCTTCGATGTCATTATCTGGCTGTTTATCGACTCCGTATTACTGAATTATGTGACATCGACCTGATGAGTGAGTAGCGCAGACATAGGCATTTCTTTTTGTAACAAATTCTACTGAATTTTACATAAATGCTACAAGAACAACTAAATGTCTGCTTTCGCTCTCTTCAGCTATACCAATGCCAACAACGACTACCTCTTCCGTGTTCACAACATCGCCTCCTGTATCACCCATCAGCGTCTCCAGCAGCGCCACATCGTCATCTACAACATCGTCCACCAAACTTCTAGATGCTGCAGGTACAGGTAAGTGATCATGTCGGAGAGTCTGACACACACATTTGGATTTTCGCATCTCTGTGGTGAATCTTGTATTTGTCAGCCCATACAAAAACACATACCAATTCTCGTGGGTTTCGCCAAAGTAATAATGGCCTAAGACCAGCAGCCATTCAGGATTTCCTCCCCCATTAATCTGAGATGCTGTGATATAACTTAAACATTTTAACAAAGCGGCGTTTAACACAACTCGAAAAACAAAAGGCTCTCATAATGACTTCTCCATCAACAGAAAGTAGATATAATGTTAATGTCTAACATACTCCTTAACCATGAAACGCACAACCAGATGTTTGGTGTGGGAAGTAGCACATATTTACTGAACATCTGAAGATGAATGGTATTGCAAACATGACTTGGATAATGACAAAGATCAATGTCATGAAAACTCATGTGTCCAACAGTAGGTTCAAGTTCTGCCTGGTGCCTGTGGTTCAGGGTGATACAACTGAAATACTGTTCAAAGCAGCCCTAAACCAAACTCACTCGCTTCTGTTGAAATTGACCAATTGATCGCAACTTGTTTAACGAGCCATTAATAGTTAAACATTATTTTTTATTAGAATAGCGAATATATATCACCAATGTGTATCTTGAAATACAAATCAGTGGTAGTCTATGAAGACTGTTGGATTATGCGGCATAAATGATATATAAGGGAATGAGAAAACACCAAATAACTTGAATTACACACAACTGCTTTTACATATTGTTTGCAAAAAGTATTCAAATATTATTTCTCACGATTCGCTTGTGAAAGACCACAAGTGGATTTAATAGAATTGACGAATGTTATTGATATGGTGAGTTTAGAAAATCTTGTTGTCTGATATACTGTAAATCTTGAAGTTAACGCGAGCTTGAATTAAATGCGAAAAATGCGAGTGGTCCTTGCTTGCATTAAATAACTTCGCATTTATGTCTCCCAAATGACTATCCACAATAAGACGGCCTCACTGCACACTTTGGATAGCGGAAATACGAACTTGAATACAAACACAAACATTTTTATTCAGCAGCAGTTGTTACAAGTATATAACAATGTCATTCAAAGAATAGGAATTCTACAATTTGCAGTAGGTTTCACTTGACAAAAGAATCTCTATCAGCGTCTCAGTATTTTCACAAGCAAGGTTTGGGAGGTGGTTTGAAATACTAATTCTAATTCTAAAAAGGAATGGGCGAAATTTTATACTGGTGCCATAACGAAGCACTTGTCAGAAGCAAACCAAATACTATGTAACAGGATGAGGTAGGTGAGGTCCCGTTTTTGCCAACGGTAAATGTAAGAGCATTTCTTGTGCTGGATGCCACCGGTGATGGAGGATAGGCTCATCTTGTGTCATTTTCATTTACATTTGCACATTTGGGATTTCTGCCATGATCAAATAGATAAGTTTGACTTATTGTGAGGCAGTCCGTGACACAAGAGTATTGTTCCACCAAAGGTATCCTAAGACCAATGGTTTGGGAAATGACTTGACACAGCCTTCTGAAAATCCTTAAACTGAACCTTTCAATACAGTTATCTTTACATTTAGTACTTTTAAATGTCCATAAGATGTAACTTATGAAATGAACAAAGCCTAGTTTTCATTCACATGAAGACTAACATGTATAATAATACTTTCTAGTCACTTTGCCTAAATCCTGCAGATCATCTGGGCCAAAGGGAGCCTCATAGTTTTTGCCTTCATCCAGGTTAAAAGTTGGGAGTTTAATTACCTTAAAGAGTCTTGTGTCGTATGTTCTGTGGCAGGGCGTGGAGTTCAGCACTCTCACAGATGGGGGGTCCCAGTAACAAATGATCAATAATCGATAACTCTCTTGTTGTAATGACGACGACTGTTGTGTTGTACGGACGATAACCCTGACATTGTGCTGACGATGACTCCGGTGTTGTGCTGACGATTTCTCCCGTATTGTACTGATGGTGACTCTGGTGTTGTACTGATGATGACTCTGGTGTTGTACTGCCGATGACTCTGGTGTTGTACTGATGATGACTCTAGTGTTGTACTGCCGATGACTCTGGTGTTGTACTGCCGATGACTCTGGTGTTGTGCTGACGATGTCTCTGGTATTGTACTGACGATGACTCTAGTGTTGTACTGCCGATGACTCTGGTGTTGTACTGCCAATGACTCTGGTGTTGTGCTGACGATGTCTCTGGTATTGTACTGATTGTGACTCTGGTATTGTACTGATTATGACTCTAGTGTTGTACTGCCAATGACTCTGGTGTTGTAATGACTATGACTCTGGTGTTGTGCTGACGATGTCTCTGGTGTTGTACTGCCGATGACTCTGGTGTTGTACTGATTATGACTCTAGTGTTGTACTGCCGATGACTCTGGTGCTGTACTGATTATGACTCTAGTGTTGTACTGCCGATGACTCTGGTGTTGTACTGACTATGACTCTGGTGTTGTGCTGACGATGTTTCTGGTATTGTACTGATGGTGACTCTGGTGTTGTACTGACGATGATTTTCGACTCGTATCTTGTAGTTCCGATGCCTGCTATTCTGCTGTTTTATTTCAGATCCTGGTACCACCAGAGACAACGTCACCTCTCTTATAACGCCGATCCTGGTGTCATGTGTCGTCATCGCCGTTGTGCTCTGTGTTACAGTAGTTATTACCAGTTATATCAGGTGAGGAAATCTAGTCACAGCTCTTCACACCAGTCACGGAGAACCCACATATTGCCTTCTATAAACCGAGTAAACTAATATATTTACAGGAGCATGTAATTTTACGGCATAATTGTGTGTATCAATGTACATGACAATTCAAGATCCGAAACATTAGTTCAAAAGGTTACACGGTAGACGACATGTGGAGAACAGTTTGACGCATCACTGTGCAATGTAATGTCCGATGTAATTCCCTATTTTCCTGTGTTTGTTCAGATGAACACTTGACTTCTCTTTGTATGTGTGGGTGACGATGCTGGTGGAGGGGGATATTCTCACCTTTTCGCGAACACCTGGTATAATCACTATCTATTGTGATTCATATACACATACTTATGATGTAGTCAGTCTCGTACAGTGGACTCGTTATGTCTCTTGTATTTACAAAGGGGCCTATTAGCATGCGGCGTTGTGTAACAAAAATAACTTACTGTTTTGTGCTGATTGCATGAGTGGAGGATCCAACCAGTAGAGCAGGACACACATGCATTCACCCTTGTGGCGAATACCTGTTCCATTCATATACATGTCATCACGTGTTTGCCTTTTAAGGCCAATAGAATCTGTTTCGGCAGACAATCGAGACTGATTTTTCTCTGGTGATTTTCATGATACAATTGCAGTTGTCAATTAATGTGCCAATTTTAAGTTCAAGCTCATGTTCAAGTTAGTGGGGCAGTGGTTGCAGTCGTCATGAAGAAGACCCATGTTTGCTGCTACACACATGAGTATTATGTGTGAAGCCCATGCTTGCTGCTACACACATGAGTATTATGTGTGAAGCCCATATTTGCTGCTACACACATGAGTATTATGTGTGAAGCCCATGCTTGCTGCTACACACATGAGTATTATGTGTGAAGCCCATATTTGCTGCTACACACATGAGTATTATGTGTGAAGCCCATGCTTGGTGTTTCCCGTCGTGATATTCCGGAAACAACATGTCACTTTTATTGACAGTGAGCAAGAATAAGGTTGGTTTAATTACAATGGTATCATTATATGTTGAAGGTATGCTGCTGAATCTAAACCAAATTTTACGTTCATTCATTCTAGGAAACAACAGGGTCCAAACCATAAAGAAGAGAACAGAAACCAGTCTGAGAGACACTATGCTGGTCTTGAATCCGGACATGGCGATGCCGATTACTCAAGTCTAAACAGTGCATATGAGGAATTCCCCAATACATTGCCAGACCCTGCGCCCCCTAACACTACTGACAGCACTGGACACTCGCTCTATGCTAATGAGGGGATCGAATCCCAGATGAGAGACTTGAATCCTGACCGTGTGGTGTACGCGAATGGTGATGTACAGATGGAATAGAGACACGCCACCCTGCTATACATTACCAATTGTACGATGCCACCATTGCTTGTTATAACATTGATGAACTTACAGAATACGAGTTGGTCGATTAGGTTACTGGGTACATACAGACCTAATGGTAAAGCGCAAAACCATAAACTAATAGTAACAATATTTGCGTTATACTTAGGTGTGACTCTCTGCAAACATATACAATAATGAGACAACCTTTATGAGAAGGCAGACTATAAATATATTGGCAGTTGGTTTACGGCGTTCGAAATACATGAGACAGACGCACATTTATTTTATGACATGAGTAAACTTAGGTCTAAACAGTCAGTAATGTTTAGTTAATATGTACGAATGCATGCATATTTGTACATAGATATAGATTGTGGACATTCGACTACGTTTTACAAACACAATAACATGAAGACAAAATCGTCACTACAGTTAAGAAACGCTAAAGAAATCACACAATTTAATGGTTTTGAAGATTTTATAGTGAAACTGGAAGCAATCCGTTCGCATAAAACTTTGCCTTGAAGGCGCATTGTGTGACGGTGCAGAAAGACGTTGTCGACCTAGTCATTGTATTTTCTGAACATTTCTTCAAATAATTCCAAACTTTGGGAATAACAACTGTAGCCAGCGCTCTACACAACACGTTATTACTATACGTTCAGAACAATTGCTGGTAGAAGAAAAAGGGACATGTGAAAATAAATCCACCATAATCTTTGTTTCTATATTGTGTATATCTGTTCCTTTAGGTAATAACTATTTTTAGTATTGAATGTCAATCTTTTGTCTTTTTCTAGCCAACAGCACACTCACCTGTTCTGTATTATACACACTCTCCTCATACTATATGTTATCATACAACCCGACATGATGATGCCAAGACACAGTTAGGACTTAAAGCTAAGATCCCGGGCAGACAGCCATAGAAGAAACGTCAGACAATTGGAAAATAACTTGAAATAAAAAGCGTAATCACTACTTCATGTATGTACACAAATTTAGAGACGCCATTCCTGTCATGTGCTGTTTATTTTAATCAATTGAGGAAAAGTTTGGCATCAATACAATATATTTCACCTCCCTGTTTGACAAAAGTTGAATGCCTTCATGTTATTGCAGATTACATGTGTGTAACAGGTTTGATACCAGCAACTGATGAATGTTATCTCCATCATTACATGAGCTACATTGACTGACGGTTTTATGTTTTCCTCCTTTATGAATACTCAATATACGCCGGACTTTATATCAACGGAGCGTGACAGTATCAAACACTGGTACTATGTGTAGGCTACTTTCTACAACCGCTGTCCAAGAAATGAGGAAACGTGATGTGATCTCAGCTACCCCGCTTCAGTGACTGAAACACCAAATGTTCAAATAATCTGATTATTCTCTGGCGTTTACGTTTTATATACTGAAAAACAAAAGTTCCTGTGACATTGAATAAGATTTAATGCAAAGTTAACAAATCCGAAACAATTTCGGTTTGCAACAGATAAAAGACTCCTGTAAGTGTTCAAATGGTTTAATTTCCCATACTGACTTCAGAAAATGCGTGATTTCATAAAACAACATGAACATGCCAAAATGTCAATTTACAAATCAATAGCGTGTGGTTGCGATGCAAGCAACACATCTTCCTGTGGGATATCTGTCCATATCAGCTGGAGCCGATCCATCTCGTCCCACATGTGCTCGATTGGTGAGAGATCAGGGGAGCGAGTTGGCCAGGGGATGACACTCACGTTGTTTTGTTGAAGTGGGTCCTGAACAAGTCGAGCAATATGAGGCCGGGCGTTGTCAAGTTGAAAGGTGATGCCTGGGCCATGACGACGCAAAAAGGGTAGAACAAAAGGGCCTATGATCTCGTCGCGGTAGCGCTGTCCATTGAGATTTCCATCTACCACTATCAAACGGGTCCTCTGTCTTGCTGTAATCCCACCCCATACCATAACGCTGCCGTCCCCGAACCGATATTTTTCCATGACACAATGATTGACGTAACGTTCACATCGACGTCGGTACACTCGAATCCGTCCATCGCTGTGGCTGAGGTGAAAACGAGACTAATCAGTGAATAGAACTTGTCCCCACTGCATGGCCGTCCAGCGTAGACGCTGTCTGCACCACTGTAGACGTGCTTGACGGTGGTTTCCTGTCAAAATGGGACGTCTGGCGGGTCTTCTGGCGACAGTCCCTGCACATCTGAGGCGGCGGTTTGTAAAGATATTCGTCGAAGGCCAGGGATGCTTCTTGCAGTCACTCCTGCTGGCTGGAATCGATTTCGTAGGTGTGTTGTTCAAATCCAGTTGTCTTGTCGATTATTGGTTACGCGTGGCCTGCCACTCCGAGGATTGTCTCTGACTGCATCCGTCTGTTGCCAACGTTGCCATAAAAACCAAATGGTGTTTCTGTGGGCGTTAAATTGTCTTGCAAAATCACGTTGACACGATCCTGCTTCAAGCACACTAATGGCTCACAGACGCTCATTTTCGGACAGGCGTGGCATTTCGTAATGTTGAATAATTGCGTAATTTTGTTGTTTTTCTGAGTGGTTGTCAGCACGATGCTAAACAATGCATATGGAACTCCGTTAACGCACATGTTTTTATACCCATTCTTGGGTAGTGAAATGCATGGGGCTTGTATAAAAGTCAACTTTTGCAAGGAATACATGCTTTTCTGTAGCAGTTGCGTTTTTGTGACTTGATTCCATACATGTACTACAATATTGAAAACCAAACTTTACTTGTTTGAAAAAGACGCTAAATTATTGGTGTCACAGGAACCTTTGTTGTTGAGTATATTTATTATTAATCACTACTCGTAGGGAGTGTGCGTCACATTGTTTTGAAACAGTATTTCATCTATGTCACTGAGTGTCAGATTGTGGTAGTGGGAAAGTTAGTAGTAATGCAGGTCTTCGACACACGATGACATGTGTCTGGCAAGCCAACTCGCTGATTGTGGCATAAATTAACAAATGTTAAGGATTTAAGCTCAACAACAAGGGTATTTATGACCTCGATTAACTGATAGGAATAGTTTAAATCACATTTCATAAGGGGATGTACATCAGAATATTGCAAAAATAAATTATTGAAGCAGTTTTAAAACACCGGAGACTTGATCCGTCGATAAAACGCAGCTTCCTCGTTTCCGTGCCGAGGAGAAAGTTATTTAAAAAAAATTCCTTATTGCTATGCTTCCAGTGTTTTCTGCGGTTTATGGTAATCGTGTACATAATGACATAATGTTTTGAATGTTGATAAAATGTTTATATAAACGGGTAACAAAACATGTTTTGTAAGCACTTTGTCAGTAATCGATCATTTAAGTGCAATCATATTTCTTGAGTGAGTGAGTGAGTGAGTGAGTGAGTTGGGCCTAACGCCGATTTTAACAGTAATCCAGTTATATTACGGCGTGTCAGCTTAATGTGGGAGGAAAGCCCGAAGTGATGCAGGTCTCAGACGTTTACCACCTCGGTGAAACCCTCGAGGACTGGTATGGTGTATACAAACATAGGAACATAATCGGGGCTAACAGGGATTCGAACCCACAATCATAGGTTTCTGGCGTGCCCAAGGGAAGCAACTCTACAGAGAATTGCAGCGCCTTAGACGACTGGGTCACCAGTATTTCTTGAACTTGATAATGATGATGGTGATGATAATGATGAAGATGTGTAAACCGTCTGCCCCTCAGAAACTTCCAGGCAGATAAACTCATGACTTGTAAATTAAGTTTTATCTGAATTAAAGACGGTGCGATAAGTTAAATATCAGAAAACATTCACCATTAGAGAAATGTCGAGACGCACACAAGAGAACCGTGACAGAGCTATTGGTACGGCAGATTGCAAGAACCTTTAACTGCGGTCAAACCAGTATCAGCAACTTGTTGAGCCGTTATCAGCAAAACAGGCCGTACACAAGTCAATCCAAGATCGAGAAGACCAAGGGTCACAACGCCAGTTGAAGACCGCTACACTCGGAAAATCCACCTGCGAAACATATACGTGACGCCGACGGCACTGGGGCACCCCATCAGCAGACGAACAGTCTTACGACGACTCTGTATTAGTGATATCAAAGTCTACCATCCCTTCAGTGGAATTATGCCTTGAACCCTCAACGCAGATTACAATGGGTAAGAAACGCACGTCAGAGGCGGCGGCGTGATTGGTAAAGGGTGATGGCCGAGTCCGTGTTTATCGACGTAGAGGAGAGCGACTGGCACCTAACTTCATCCAAGATGTACACCCTTATGCTGGAGGCGTCCGTGGTATTGGGCGGTATTTGCGGTCAGTGGACAACGAGGCTCTCCCTGGTCAAAGATATAGACATCAAGTGTTGCGACCTGTTGTAGTGCAATTCTTACGTGGACAACCAAGGGGTACCCTATTGCAGCAGGATAATGCACGTCCTCATACTGCCAGACTTATTCAGCAATATCTGCACAACGTTAACGTTAGTGTATTACCTTATTATCCTCCAGACATGAATTCCATATAGCATCTCTCGGATTATCTTGAGGTTGGGTGATTTAACTGTACAGCCCAGACTTTTTCCTGTTCCGGCAAATGAAATCGGCCCTACGTGGAAGACGCTTCCAGGATGACGAGGACATAAAGGCTGCCACAGAGGCGTGGTTAGAGGGCCAATCTACGGATTTCTATCAAAGTGATATTAAAAGCTTGAAGGACAAATTGAATAAGTGTATTGAGGTGAATGGAGATCATTTTGAAAAATAAAAGTGCAAAAGATATTCTGAGACTTGGTCTTATATTGAAATTGCGAAACTTATTGAACGCCCCTCGTATGTTACATGTATGTATGTGTTCTAGGGTGTTAGATTATTAGGACAACTCATTATCTTACTTATCACCCCAAATCATGTCCTTTAGATTTCATTAACGGACAGAAAATCACACATACGTATATGTTTAACCACTACATGTTAAATCCTCAGGATTATTTATTAGGAATATGAATATTCGTACTTCCTGTTATACATAAATAATGTGATGAAACCGGAACATTGAATGTAATTATGCTAAGAAATATTCGCATAATATTGAATATGCATGTACCGCATCAGAGTGTGCGGTAACAGAGCCATTACCTTCCTCGGCGAGGGAGAGTAGGGTGGATTCTGTCTTACATTGTGAACTGATAGACTCGGTATGTGAACAGAGAGGGCTGCAAAAGGCAAGGATGAAACACATATTTATCTTTGTCGCTGTGATCTGCCTGCCGCACGGTATGTGTAATTCCCTCATTGTAAACTTCGGTGTATATTTTTCGAACTGAAGAGTGAGTGATTTGGGTTTAACGCCGCTTTTAACAGTATTCCAGTTATATCACGGCGTGTCAGATTAATGTGGGAGGAAAGCCCGAAGTGATGCAGGTCTCAGACGTTTACCACTTCGGTGAAACCCACGAGCACGGGTATGGTGCTGACAAACCTAGAAACATAATCGGGGCGAACCGGGATTCGAACCCACAATCATAGGTTTGTGGCGTGGCCAAGGGACGCAACTCTGCACAGCGAATCGCGGCGCCTTAGACGACTGGGCCACCCGTGCCCCCTTCGAACTGTAGAGCACTGTAGAGACAACTGCACTGTAGAGAAAAATATAAACAAATATTGTTGACACAATATTATTATTCACTCGCCAAGGCTCGCTAAATACAATGTTTATTCCTAATGCAGGATATTTACCATCCCCAAACACACTCGCGTGATAACTTCTATGTATGTACGTTGATTTGATTTATGCGTAGTTGGGTTCGTTGTGACCTTTTTGATTCGAGCTTGGCTTAACCGAAATCTTACACTTCTACACTGAGTTTATGAATCGGGTATAGTTGTATATTGAATAATTATGCATGGTATCTGCTCCACTATTGTTCAATATGAAAGTATTGTGATTCAATGGTGGGATATTTCCGTGTTGGATATATTCACCATGTAAATGTCGGTGACTTTAGCATTTCACAGGTTGGGTGTGTATTTGTGTGTCTGATTCAAGTTCTGTCCTGTTTACGAATTTGAAGCTGCTTGGTCGAAAATTCATTTAGCCTGCAACCTCGGGGTATCGCGGTGCTTGTCATGTACGCTAAACGGAACAAAATGAACTCACTCACCTTTATGATTATTCGTGTTCTCTAAATCAGATATCATTTATTTTATCAAACAATGCATATTTTACTGATAAAAGTTCATTATTTACGTCAGTAGCTCCGAGTAAAAGCCGGGCCTCGCGCTCCGTTTGACAAGGGAGAGAACTCCATCTTATCGCGGTACGGAGAAAAGTTGTGTATGGAGGTCCGAATTAGACAAAATTCTACCAACCACTTGGTATGATCATGCCAGACATCAGTGATTTGTCCAGACACGTGCAAAGACAGCACAACTAAAATTTTAAATGTGTTATCAGTAATAGGTATTCGATGCATACTGACCGAAAAGTAAGAAAAAAATATTTTTATAAGTCAACAACAAAATATCAGAAATGATATTCTAAGATTGTTTACAAAAAAGATTGGATGACAATAATTTGTGACAAAATGGAAAAACGTTAAAAGTCAACAATAAATATATAAAAAGCACTCCTTGTATGCCCAAAGTATGTATTTATCTTTTGGCTACTAGTGAAGAAAGTATTTCTAAGTTTGGCATTATGGCCCTTATGATCTCCCAATAGATTCTGGGCACAGAGCGGGAAAAATGTGCGGACTACGTAACTTCCGTTACCTTATTAGTCGCCATTAATATGCAGATGATCTGGTTCAGGTCGTTAGAGAAAGTTTACTTGGGGAACTGCGGGTTATATCATTGGTTGATAGATGTGGGTAAGGCAATATTAAAAATGATGCCAGAAGTAAGTATCAACGCATTAAGAACCCCTTACTTACAGCAGACGGAACATTCCGAGGAAATTGAAGAGGCGTGTCCCGCGTGAACTACCGGAAATCACAAATGCCGCGATACGATGAATGCCGCGGTACCCCGGGGTCCGAGTATAATATCGAAGCCAACATCAGTGCTGCAATTATTACTCAAAAAGCCATCACGAACAATTACCAGTTTGTTTTGCTGCTTTATATTTGTCTATCATACACATGTAAGTCAGTATAACAATATTCAACTAAAGCGAAGCATACACAGACAAATATCGTGAGCGTCCTTGCTAACATGTAGGTAAATATTGGAGCTACAAGTTCAAATGTGCACAGCCCATTTCTTGTTTGTTCCAGTTTCTGGTGAAGACGCCTGTCCCTGTGTGACTGGTTACAACTGCCCCGAGAACTGTACCTTAGGTAATGGGAAACTTTGTGTTGAACTGAAAACAAATCAAACGTATTGATGCAATACCAATCATAATTCAACTAATAGGAAATAGTGAGTGAGTGAGTGAGTTGGGTTAAACGCCGCTTTTAACAGTATTCCAGTCATATCGCGGCGTGTCAGCTTAATGTGTGAGAAAAGCCCGAAGTGATGGAGGTCTCAGACGTTTACCACTTCGGTGAAACCCACGAGCACGGGTATGGTGCTGATAAACCTAAGAACATAATCGGGGGGAACAGGGTTTCGAACCCACAATCATAGGTTTATGGCATGGCCAAGGGACGCAACTCTGCACAGCGAATCGCGGCGCCTTAGAGGACTGGGCCACCCGTGCCCCCTCATAGGAAAGAAGAAGGTAAGGCAGGGGCCTTGTTTGGACACTGGAAATGTCAACTTTCAATGTTACTAAAAACTTGGTAATATTGGTAAGACAAAAATGATTAAACGTGTTGAAATGACGAAGAAGAAGCGTTTTTCTTTTGTACACTTGCAAGGTTTGGACCTCTCACAAATAGAATAGTATTGGTAAAGTGAGTGAAAATCTAAGTGTGAGCAAGTCAACGATTTATTCATGTTTAAACATTAAATTCAATTCCCAAAAACCTTTACCATCACCCTTTTCAAATAAGTTCAGCATTACAGTACATTTAGTGTTCTTTTAAGTCCCAAACATGCAACAGTTGAAATGTATGAAATCTAATTCTCATTCACATGGACACATTTGATACTTTTCATGATGATTTATAAACGTTTTCCGATTTTTTAAATTACGCACATTTCCAGAGCCAAATGATTATGTTTCTTGTTTTGTGAGCACCATAACCATACTGTGAGAGTTTCATCAAAATGGGTTATAATCAGAGACCTGCATTCGTCTAACATCAAGTTGAAACACGGTTATATTACTAAAATAATGTTCAAAGAGGCGCTAAACCAAACACATTGTCTGGCTTCTTTTCAAATTTGATATATACACAAAGAAAGAAGTTAAGCACACCTAATATATTTCATTATTGTTTGGTCCCAATATTTGTAAGAGTCATGAAAGATATAATTACGGGAAGAAAGATGTTTTCTCGAGATGATGTAATCAGTCATGCGTGACGAAAGCTCACGTGCCATACATGGTATGACCGTGCAGCATGCTACCTTCGAATATCTCTAAAAGCAGTATATCCGAACGTTAAAATTGCTGTCTTAAGCTCGGTTTAAACCGTTATTTTGTGACCATGGCACGAAGGCGATTATCAAACGCCACAAGATGGCAAATAATCGGCCTGCTTAAAGCAGCAATGTCTTGTAATGCCGAATTTGGGGTATCATCACACTGTCGTAACCCGTTTAGTCGAGAAACATCCTCAGACCAGTGATGTATAGGACCGTCCCAGATCCGGAAGACCTCTTGTGACGACACATCGCGAAGACAGGGACCTTCTTCGTCTCATACGCCGAGAACCCTTTTTAACAAGTACTCGTCTGAAACAGCTGTGGTAGCCCAATCTTCGTTTCAGCACCAGAACCGCCAGGAACCGACTGAAAGCAGCAGGACTGAGGGCTATTTATAAAGCGTCCCTTGTTGAGAGATCACCACAAAGCTGCTCTTTTAGCATGGTGTATTGCGCGACAGAACTGGAATCTGAGAACTTGGAGACGGATCCATTCTGCTCTACGTCACTGATGGAAGAACGAGAGTTTAAAGGCATCGGAACACAGCCTACATCCCCAGGAACATTAAACCGACTGTTGCATACGGCAGGGGCTCGGTAATGGTTTGGGGGTGTATCTCTCATGATTGCAGGTTGGATTTGGTCACCATAAAGGGCAACTTAACAAGGGCTCAGTACTTCCGGGACGTGTTGAGGCCAGTCGTCGTTCCTCAGTTTGACAACCACCCTCTTGCTAATCGACCTCAGTACATGGATGACAATGCCAGTTCTCATCGTTCGCATGCAGTCGTGGATTACATGAGGGCCGGTGCAATAACGACTCTACCCGTGAACATGTTTGGGATATTCTTGTGCGGCGCATACAGGCACGAGTTCCCCCTGTAAAAGATTTATGCCAATTGGAAGCAGCATTGCATCAGGAGTGGTTGTTGTTGACCCATCAACAGATCCAACGTTTGACTGGAGGCATGAGACGTAAGGTGGAATGCGTCATCCGGGCTAGTTGCGGTTATACCCGCTACTGATCTGTTTCTCGTGTCATGTCAAGTAGAGACTTTAAGGAACATTTTCACATGAAACATCAAACGTAACTCGTTTACTCCATAATTTTTTAGGTATTGTCTAAGGTCAAAAACAGTACCTGTGTTACCATGATGTTTTTGTCAGTAAATTTCAATCAAAACTCACCACTATCTTCTTTATTTGATGTCAAATGTTTGTTCTATCCGATGACATTGGTATCGCCCAGATGCTGTGGTCAGTCATCCCATGCCATGATTTTTGCCATTTGTCATGGTTCAGAAATGGGGGTGTGCTTAACTTGTTTCTTTATGTATATATGCATTTAGTCAAAGCATTTGATTTCGCCAACATTTGTTTTAGAGAAAACGTTGATGCATCTGTTATTAGATAACCATTGATTGATTAAGCAATCTACGAAGATTGTTCTGTGCGACAACGTAAATGCTTTTAAAACGGAAAGAGAAAAAAAACACCAACACAACTTGAATTCCACACAATCGCTGTTACCACTTATTTGTTAACGTATTCAAATGTTCCATTCGCGTGAAAGAGACCAACAGTGGATTTAATGAATTGGGGAAACGGAGCGATATAGGAGTTTAGGAAATTCTTGTCTGATATGATCGGAATTATCTAGAGAGTTGATAAGAAAGGCCAGGGTTTAGTACCACATATTCAGTTTTTCCAATACAATACGAGTTGTCCGTAAGGTACCGTCAGGTTCTGTTGTATATTCCTTGGTGTTAAGTTAGTTAATAATTGACAGGAATTAGAGTGACAGACGCACCCGTGTCATGTATCGTAAGTTTTTAGAACAACAATTGAAATGGAATAAATATATCGTCAGTTTTCTATGCAGTGATTTATATCGATGTAGATAGAGAGTACATCTGCAGTGTGTTACGGTACAAGCAAAACTATATTAATCCCAGAACTGGCTGAAAACTGCAGGGAAGTATAGTTTATCCAGCTAACATCTTGTATCAATTCCTCCTACATTAATCTTAAAACATTGTTGTCATGAAGTGTTTAGGATACAAGTCATCGTTCAGAGTACAGTTTATTGATATTTGCAGTGAACATAGCCCCACAAGCAACGAGTAACTTTACATCTGGGGACAATAATACCTTCTCCATTACCGGTCAGGCAGCCTGGGTTACTGACGGTGTGACGTCAGGGTCGTGTGCATCAGTCTCGTCCCTACATCCGGCATGGAAGGCTGAGTTTGGACTGACCAGGACAGTCAACGGGATCAAGATATTCTGGGAAGGTACTGAAAATGGCATATCGAATTAACCTGACGCGTGAACGTGTAAGCCGAATTGCCCTATTTTTGCTATATATGGAATATATACTTATAACAAGATAACTTTGTGTGTATCATATGGATAATAAGTAAAGGACTTTCCCCATCAATGGTGTAACTGTTCTGTATTGCCATATACATTACAAGTTACAACTGTTACATTATTTTTTTCACGTTACATAATACTCCTTACAGGTCAACAGGATGACATAACTGTGAATATAGGTAGCAGACTATGTCACGCCCCGGACTCCAACTACACATGGATGTCAGAATACACCCTGGTCTGTGGTGTACCACTGACGGGAAGCAACCTCGTGATGTATCGCCAACCTACAGGAGGGATGCTGCATCTGAGTCTCTGTGAGGTTGAAATATATGGTAAATCATTATGGACTTATCTGAGGGCATTAATTACTTTGACTCTGAAACTACTTATATTTATATTAATTAAAGGAAAATCGATGATGTACAAAACCTTTACGCTTTTGAAATGCGCAAGAGAAAGTGTAAAACAAATATAGGAATGAACTTATCTGTCTATAGGCATAAATGTTTGTTGGTAACGAATTTATTCACATGTATTACAACACCAGTGCCAAATCGTCGCTCTTTTAAAATATGAGTGTGAAAAATAGCGGCATAACATCCAATCAAAGTCTGGACTGGGGAGTAATCGCTGGAGATAGAGCTTACATACAACATATCACAAGCTCACTTAACCTAAAATGTGTCTTAAAACATTAATACGGCAACTAGCTTCACCACGTTTTATCGATTCTGGACAAAAATAAATTACCTATGACTTTTTTGCGAATGTTCTATGATAACTAGCCAATATACTGATGAGTAATTACGCGTTCCAACATAGTACTATTTTTAACACGTTCTTGATGTCATGGTAGAATGGAGACACACCTTCTCGCTCCTAATTATATTTAGGACTATCGAATTTACTGTTAGACTATCACGATATGGCTGAAATACTGCCGATGTGACGTAAAATCTGAACTCACTCACTACAGTTAGACTACATCTAATTTCAAAGCACAGTAGGTTTATCTCCAAAATGTCACCTTACGTTACTGTTTTGATGAATATTTTTATAGTACATTAAATGCATCATTTCCTGATGTCCGTTGTAGAAGGTAATATGTCAAGTGACAATTCATGTATTACATGGAAACGAACCCTAAACTGAACAGCCTACGGAATGGGCATCAGTCATGGCTCGTTCAATTTCAGGGTGTAAAGAGATTTTTCATGTTCACAGATTTTGCAAAGGCAATATCCCTTTAATGTCATTATCCCATTTATCTGACTTTTATCGACTCCATATGTGACTGAGCAGTGGTGATTGATTTAAAATAACACGAGCCATGTACTTTTTTCAAATTCTTCTGAATTTCACATAAATACTCTAGAGCAACGTAACAGGATGACCACTTTCTATCCTTTTAGCCTTTCCTTTGGCCACAACGACACCCTCTTCTGTGGCTTCTACTCCTCCCGCATCAAGTAAGGTATCAGGTGGGACAGTCTTCTGAGTCCAAAGACCAAAATACCTCAATGAATAAGTTTGATAACAGTATAGGAATGAACTTACCTGTGAGGATGCATAATTGTTTGTCCACATGCATTGCCGCTTCAAGGCTCCTTGCCAAAACGATGTTTGATGAAAATAAAAGAAAATATATGCAGTGAGCTTTGATATGTTCGTAGATGTTGCCAAAGAATTGCCCTATCGATGTCATTATCTGGCTGTTTATCGACTCCGTATTACTGATTTATGTGACATCGACCCGATGAGTGAGTCGCACAGACATAGGCATTTCTTTTTGTTACAAATTCTACTAAATTGTACATAAATGCTACAAGAACAACTAAATGTCTCCTTTCGCTCTCTTCAGCTATACCAATACCCACAACGACACCCTCTTCCGTGTTCACAACACCGCCTCCTGTATCACACATCAGCGTCTCTAGCAGCGGCACAACGTCATCTACAGCATCGTCCACCACACTTCTAGATGCTGCAGGTACAGGTAAGTGATCATGTCGGAGAGTCTAAGTCGCTGATAGAGTGAACACTTTTCTTATGTTTTTCATTAGTGAGTTTTCTAAAAGATTTTAGATGCTGATGGGAGTCGACAAAAATGCGAGTCTCATCGGACAACACACACACACACACACACACACACACGCGCGCGCGCGCGCGCACACACACACACACACACACACACACACACACACACACACACACACACACACACACACACACACACACACACACACACACACACACACACACACACACACAAAATATATGCAGTGAGCTTTGATATGTTCGCAGATGTTGCCAAAGAATTGCCCTATCGATGTCGTTATCTGGCTGTTTATCGACTCCGTATTACTGATTTATGTGACATCGACCTGATGAGTGAGTCGCACAGACATAGGCATTTCTTTTTGTTACAAATTCTACTGAATTTTACATAAATGCTACAAGAACAACTAAATGTCTACTTTCGCTCTCTTCAGCTATACCAATGCCCACAACGACTACCTCTTCCGTGTCCACAACATCGCCTCCTGTATCACACATCAGCGTCTCCAGCAGCGCCACATCGTCATCTACAACATCGTCCACCACACTTCTAGATGCTGCAGGTACAGGTAAATGATCATGTCGGGAGTCTGAGTCACTGATAGAGTGAACACATTTCTTACGTTTTTCATAAGCAAGTTTTCTAAAAGATGTTAGATGCTGATGGCAGTCGACAAAAATGCGAGTCTCATTGGTCAACATACATACATACATACACCGTGGTAGCTGGTTTTGTGATCTTTTTAGATATTTTGGGCGATGATGCATTCCACACACACACACACACACACACACACACACGCACGCACGCACGCACGCACGCACGCACGCACGCACGCACGCACGCACGCACGCACGCACGCACGCACGCACGCGCACGCACGCACACACACACACACACACACACAGACAGACAGACCTCTTCATAGTATGGTGCGACACAAGTGACCCTGTCGTATAAAGCGCCGCATTTGGGTTTTCGCATCTCTGTGGTGATTCTTGTATTTGTCAGCACATTCAAGCACATACCAATTCTCGTGGGTGTCGCCAAAGTAATAATGTGTCCAACAGTACATGTAGGTTCAAGTTCTGCCTGGTGCCTGTGGTTCAGGGTGATACAACTGAAATACTGTTCAAAGCAGACCTAAACCAAACTCACTCGCTTCTGTTGAAATTGACCAATTGATCGCAACTTGTTTAACGAGCCATTAATAGTTAAACATTAATTTTTATTAGAATAGCGAATCTATATCACCAATGTGTATCTTGAAATACAAATCAGTGGTAGTCTATGAAGACTGTTGGATTATGCGGCTGTCGTATGAGACACAACATAAATGCTATATAAGGGAATGAGAAAACACCAAATAACTTGAATTACACACAACTGCTTTTACATATTGTTTGCAAAAAGTATTCAAATATTATTTCTCACGATTCGCTTGTGAAAGACCACAAGTGGATTTAATAGAATTGACGAATGTTATTGATATGGTGAGTTTAGAAAATCTTGTTGTCTGATATACTGTAAATCTTGAAGTTAACGCGAGCTTGAATTAAATGCGAAAAATGCGAGTGGTCCTTGCTTGCATTAACGAAACTCCGCATTTATGTCTCCCAAATGACTATCAACAATAAGACGGCCTCACTGCACACTTTGGATAGCGGAAATACGAACTTGAATATAAACACAAACATGTTTATTCAGCAGCAGTTGTTACAAGTATATAACAATGCCATTCAAAGAATAGAAATTGTACAATTTGCAGTAGGTTTCACTTGACAAAAGAATCTCTATCAGCGTCTCAGTATTTTCACAAGCAAGGTTTTTTTGGGGGGGGGTTTGGGAGGTGGTTTGAAATACTAATTCTAATTCTAAAAAGGAATGGGCGAAATTTTATACTGGTGCCATAACGAAGCACTTGTCAGAAGCAAACCAAATACTATGTAACAGGATGAGGTAGGTGAGGTCCCGTTTTTGCCAACGGTAAATGTAAGAGCATTTCTTGTGCTGGATGCCACCGGTGATGGAGGATAGGCTCATCTTGTGTCATTTTCATTTACATTTGCACATTTGGGATTTCTGCCATGATCAAATAGAAAAGTTTGACTTATTGTGAAGCAGTCCGTGACACAAGAGTATTGTTCCACCAACGGTATCCTAAGACCAATGGTTTGGGAAATGACTTGACCCACCCTTCTGAAAATCCTTAAACTGAACCTTTCAATACAATTATCTTTACATTTAGTACTTTTAAATGTCCATAAGATGTAACTAATGAAATGAACAAAGCCTAGTTTTCATTCACATGAAGACTTACATGTATGATAATACTTTCTAGTCGCTTTGCCTAAATCCTGCAGATCATCTGGGCCAAAGGGAGCCTCATAGTTTTTGCCTTCATCCAGGTTAAAAGTTGGGAGTTGAATTACCTTAAAGAGTCTTGTGTCGTATGTTCTGTGGCAGGGCGTGGAGTTCAGCACTCTCACAGATGGGTCCCAGTAACTAATGATCAATAATCGATAACCCTCTTGTTGTAATGACGACGACTGTTGTGTTGTACGGACGATAACCCTGACATTATGCTGACGATGACTCTGGTGTTGTGCTGACGATTTCTCTCGTATTGTACTGATGGTGACTCTGGTGCTGTACTGATGATGACTCTGGTGTTGTACTGCCGATGACTCTGGTGTTGTACTGATGATGACTCTGGTGTTGTGCTGACGATGTCTCTGGTATTGTACTGATGGTGACTCTGGTATTGTACTGCCGATGACTCTGGTGTTGTACTGCCAATGACTCTGGTGTTGTGCTGACGATGTCTCTGGTATTGTACTGATGGTGACTCTGGTGTTGTGCTGACGATGTCTCTGGTATTGTACTGATGGTGACTCTGGTATTGTACTGACGATGACTCTAGTGTTGTACTGCCGATGTCTCTGGTGTTGTACTGCCGATGACTCTGGTGTTGTGCTGACGATGTCTCTGGTATTGTACTGATGGTGACTCTGGTATTGTACTGACGATGACTCTAGTGTTGTACTGCCGATGTCTCTGGTGTTGTACTGCCGATGACTCTGGTGTTGTGCTGACGATGTCTCTGGTATTGTACTGATGGTGACTCTGGTATTGTACTGATTATGACTCTAGTGTTGTACTGCCAATGGTGTTGTAATGACTAGTCAAGTCAAAGATGTTTATTGTATCAAAGGCCATCGGCCCATATACAAGTTCAGATAAATACAGTGGGTGAGAATTTACAGATTGGGAGATACAACAAACATTATATAAATATAACATTCATTTAACAATCGGTGATAATCATGAGGACTTTCTAGGGTGAGGTAATTAAAATTATGAATTTCCACTCAACATGTTATTTCGTAGTTCCATCCCATGTTTTACAAATAAAGACAGTTTAAACATTACATCGGCATCATTCGATGACAAAATAGAAACAAAAGCTATTCTACTCGTCTTAGATAAGAAACATTCTGGTATGTATTTAGTACGTTATTCTGCATAATAAGGACATTCAAAGGTAAAATGTATTTCGTCTTCTATTGCAGAGTTACAGAATGGACAAATTCTTTGTATTCTTTCAAGTGATATATTCCGTCCATAGTTAATCATAAGTTTTGACAAGCCAAGTCTGTATTTAATATATCCATTTCTTAGGTGACTATTTGTTAAAACTGATAGATATTTTTCTGGCTCTAATAGAGTCTTAAATGTTCTGTACAAATCATAACGTGAACTATTTTCCAAGTTGCATTGCCACCCTTGATAGAACATGTTTATTGCTATTTTACGAAAATCATTTAGAAATAAATGTTGATCACCAACAGATTGGTTAAGCCATATATACCCATATCCATGTGAGAATAATAGTGTCCTAATATGCGATACCCATGTAACCTTACCGATACTATCTAAATGAAAGAGCATGTTATAAGCTTTTTTCGGAAGCCGATGTTCTGGCATACGGATGATATTAAACCAATATTTTAAACACTTTATTTGTGAATTAATGTAAAGTGGGTATCTTCCACATTCTCCATATATCATATTATTTGGTGTTGCTATTCCAACGCGAAGAAACTTTTTACATGCCAGTAGGTGAATTCTTTCTAAACATTCATATCTTCGGTAACCCCACACTTCAGATCCATACAATAAAATTGGCTGTATTTGAGTATCAAATAATTTGAAAAATACTTTTGGAGTAATAACTCCAAGTTTATGTGAAACAGACATTATATTAAGTAAAGCTCGTTTCCCTCGCAGTGATAAGTCAGATACACATTTGTTCATATATAGTGTTGAATTAAACATTATGCCGAGATACTTATAACCATTAACTACATTAATTTGTTGTCCATTTAAGTACCATCTTTCCCTAAAATTTAAAGGACCCCCTTTTCTGAATACTATAATTTCTGTCTTATCTAAATTTACAGATAAATTCCATTCCTTAGTATATTTATCTAATACATTCAACTGATTCTGTAGACCAATAACAGTGTCAGATAGTAAAATAACATCATCGGCAAAAAGGAGCATAAGAAGTTCAAGGATGTCAGGATACATCTGTATACCATGCTTGCCGTTACTTGAGATTTCATAATATAATTCGCTTATGAAAAACGAAAATAACAGAGGACTCAGTATACATCCCTGACGTAAACCAGATGGGCAATCGATAAAATCAGTAACACCATAATCACTACGTACACATGACTTGATATTTAAATACATTGTAGTATATTAAACATCTTCCTTAAAGTTTGTAGTCCAGCTTTTCTTAAACAACACCATAATTTATAACGATCAACTGTATCAAATGCCTTTTTAAAATCAATATGACTATGACTCTGGTGTTGTGCTGACGATGTCTCTGGTGTTGTACTGCCGATGACTCTGGTGTTGTACTGATTCTAACTCTAGTGTTGTACTGCCGATGACTCTGGTCCTGTACTGATTATGACTCTAGTGTTGTGATGACGATGTTTCTGGTATTGTACTGATGGCGACTCTGGTGTTGTACTGACGATGATTTTCGACTCGTATCTTGTAGTTCCGATGCCTGCTATTCTGCTGTTTTATTTCAGATCCTGGTACCACCAGAGACAACGTCACCTCTATTATAACGCCGATCCTGGTGTCGTGTGTCGTCATCGTCGTTGTGCTCTGTGTTACAGTAGTTATTACCAGTTATATCAGGTGAGGAAATCTAGTCACAGCTCCTCACACCAGTCACGGAGAACCCACATATTGCCTTCTATAAACCGAGTAAACTAATATTTTACAGGAGCATGTTATTTTACGGCATAATTGTGTGTATCAATGTACTTGACAATTCAAGATCCGAAACGTTAGTTCAAAAGGTTACACGGTAGACGACATGTGGGGAACATTTCAAAGTTTGACGCATCACTGTGCAATGTAATGTCCGATGTAATTCCCTATTTTCCTGTGTTTGTTCAGATGAACACTTGACTTCTCTTTGTATGTGTGGGTGACGATGCTGGTGGAGGGGGATATTCTCACCTTTTCGAGAACACCTGGGCCAACTTGCACAAAGCGATCTTAGCGCTACATCTATTGTAAGCTTATTTTAAAGTATGGGAGTTACGATCATCTCAGCGCTAAGATCGCTTTGTGCAAGTGGGCCCTGGTATTATCACTATTTATTGTGATTCATATACACATAATTATGATTTAGTCAGAATCGTACAGTGGACTCGTTATGTCTCTAGTATTTACAAAGGGGCCTATTAGCATGCTGCGTTGTGTAACAAAATAACTTACTGTTTTATGCTGATTGCATGAGTGGAGGATCCAACCGGTAGAGCAGGACACACGTGCATTCACCCTTGTGGCGAATACCTGTTCCATTCATATACATGTCATTACTTGTTGCCTTTTAAGTCCAATGGAGTCTCTTTCGGCAGATAATCGAGACTGATTTTTCTCTGATGGGACGTATTAAATTTTCATTATACAATTGCAGTTGTCAATTAATGTGCCAATTTTAGATAAGAAGTTCTAGCTCATTCTCAAGTTAGTGGGACAGTGGTAACAGTCGTCATACCGAAGGCCTTTGTTTGTTTGTTTTCACACAACGGTATTATGTGTGAAATCCATGCTTTGTGTTTCCCATCGTGATTAACTGGAAAGAACATTTCACTGTTATTGACTGTAGGCAAGAATAAGGTTGGTTTAATTACAGTGGTATCAAGGTATTCTGCTGAATCTAAACCAGATTTTACGTTCATTCATTCTAGGAGACAACAGGGTCCAAACCATCAAGAAGAGAACAGAAACCAGTCTGAGAGGCACTATGCTGGTCTTGAATCCGGGCATGTCGATGGCGATTACTCAAGTCTAAACAGTGCATATGAGGAATTCCCTAATACATTGCCAGACCCTGCGCCCCCTAACACAACTGACAGCACTGGACACTCGCTCTAAGCTAATGAGGGGATCGAATAACAGAAACTTGAACCCTGTTCGTGTGGTGTACGCGAATGGTGCTGTACAGATGGAATAGAGACACGCCACCCTGCTAAACGATAATATAAAATAATAGTAACACTATCTGCGTTATACTTAGATGCGAATCTCTGCAAACATATGCAATAATGAGACAACCTTTATGAGAAGAAAGACTATAAATAAATTGGCAATTGGTTTACGTCGTGCGAAATACATCCGACAGACGAACATATATTGTATTTCGTGAGTAAACTTAGGTCTAAACAGTCAGTAGTGTTCAGTAAATATGTACATATGCATGTTATACTGTACATAGATATAGATTGTTGACATGCGACTTTGTGTTACAAACACAATAACATGGAGACAAAATCGTCACTACAGTTACGAAATGCTGAAGAAATCACACAACTTATAAGGTTTGAAGATTTTATAGTGAAACTGGAGGCAATCCGATCGCATAAAACTTTTCCTTGAAGGTGCATAGTGTGATTGTTGTATGGCGGGGCAGAAAGACGTTGTCGACCTGATCATTGTATTTTCTGAACATTTCTTCAAATGATTTCAAACTTTGGGAATAACAACTGAAGCCCGCAGTCTGCACCAGTTAATACTAAACGTACAGAACAATTGCTGGTATAAGAAAACATATATGGAAGTAAATCCACCATACCCTTTGTTTGTATATTGTGGATATCTGTTTCTTTATGTAATAACTATTTTTGGCATAGACTGTCAATCTTTTTTTTTCTTTTTCACCTGTTCTGTATTATACACACTCTCCTCATACTATTTGTTACCATGATGTATAATTTATGCAAACAACCCGACGTGATTGATTAAGACCTCTATATCTGTGAAACTGATACACAACACTTTTCACCCGCGAGCTTTGGTAAGCATATAGGTCCCCAGCAACAGAGGCTTGTCGGAAGAGGCGAGGCGACTGATGGGATCCAGTGGTCAGGCCCGGTGACTGTTCATTTCCTGTCACGTATGTCAAATGCGAGGATCGATGCTCATGATGTCAACCACTGGTTTGTCTGATCTAGACTCGATTATTTACAGACCTGGAGTATAACTGGAGTGTTGCGCAGTGCCTCGTTCAAAAACAAACAACAATCAGCCTGCACACATTTGTAATCGTACGTTAACTATATTCTTCATTATCATCTTTCACTCACAATAATACTTTCTGTTGCATATACCTTTAATCATGAACTCAGACACAAACTATTGACATACAACCAGCAATAAACATAAATCAGAAAAAAAGTTTCTGTTTCTTATTTGCTTATTGTTCACTTATTGTTGGAGCCAAATGTAAATACAATTTTCAACAGAAATTTCAGATTTGATTAGCAATGATTCCAGACAGAACCGTTGGAGTGGAAAGAAAATCAGGACATATCAAAACACAGCTAAAACTTAAAGCTAAGATCCCGAGCGAGCAGGCATAAAATAGACGTCGGGAAATCGGAAAATAACTTAAAATGAAAACTATAATCGCTACTTCATGTATATACATGTATTTAGAGACGCCATTCCTGTCATGTGCTGTTCATTTGCAATAATTGAGGAAAAGGTCGGCTTCAAATAATTTATTTCATATCCCTGTTGATTTGACAATAGTTGAATGCATTCATGTTTGTCTGCAGATTACATATATGCTGGCAGGTTTAATACAAGCAACCGGTGAATGCTATCGATATCATTATATTTTTATGAGCTACATTTGTAGACGGTGTTATGTTTTCCTCCTTTATAAATACTCAATATACGTCGGCCTTTACATCAACGTGACGTGACAGTATCAAACACTGATACTATGACTTGTGTACGCTATTTTCTACAACCGCATTCCAAGAAATGAGGAAACGTGATGTGACCTCCGCTATCCCGTTTCAGTGACAAAAACACCTACCAAGTGTTTAAATAATCGAGACAAATTATTCTCTGGCTTTGGCGTTTATATTTAATAATATAAGTTAACTAGGCGATATATAGTAAAGTACAATGAAGAACGAAGTATGGATTATTTCACGATAAAACATTGTTCTATCATGACGTCATTTCTGAAGATTTGAACATACGCTCGCAACTTGATGACGTCGTATATTGGACGACGCTAATTTTAGAGGGATGTGTATACTGAGTTGTTCCTCATAGGTGAAGCAGGGCAACCTAAATAAACGCGATGGCTGAACGATCACATTCAAAATTTGGAGAAATGTGACAATCTGTTTTGGGTGAAAAGGTACATCATAATGAGTCATCCTTATTTAAATACGGGTAAATGGCTTTAAAACGTGTACAATGTATTAACATGCTTAAGACTCTGTACAAAATGTTGATATCTCATACAAGAAATAAACGACTCGTGGTCGTTGTTTATCGTACATTAAAAAAAACAGTAGGGAGAATAAACCATTAGGGACACGGTGTTCAGAGCTGCGTACTAGAACCATATGATCAAGCATTCGAATCCCAGATTCTCCCTGATTATGTTTCTAGGTTTGTGAGGTCCATAACCGTATTCGAAAGTTTCACCAACACGGTTTGATATCAAAGACCTGTAGTCGTCTCTCATCAAGTTGAAACTTAATGTTGACTTAATGTTGTACTGAAAATGACACTGTTGTTCTACTTACGGTGACTCTGGTGTTGAAAAAACGATGACCAATTTGGTGTTAACGATGACACCGGTGTTGTAATGACGATGACTTTAAGTTTGTGCCAACGATTGCACCGGTGATGTACTGACGATTACTCTCATGTTGTGCTAACGATAGCTAGGTGATGTACTGACGATTACTCTCATGATGTGCAACGATAGCAAGGTGTTGTACTTACGATGACTCTCATGTTGTGCTAACGATAGCTAGGTGTTGTACTGACGATGACTCTCATGTTGTGCTAACGATAGCTAGGTGTTGTACTGATGATGACTCTCATGTTGTGCTAACGATAGCAAGGTGTTGTACTGACGATGACTCTCATGTTGTGCTAACGATAGCTAGGTGTTGTACTGATGATGACTCTCATGTTGTGCTAACGATGAAACCGGTGTTGTACTGACGATTACTCTCATGTTGTGCTAACGATGAAACCGGTGTTGTACTGACGATTACTCTCATGTTGTGCTAACGATAGCAAGGTGTTGTACTGATGATTACTCTCATGTTGTGCTAACGATGAAACCGGTGTTGTATTGACGATTACTCTCATGTTGTGCTAACGATAGCAAGGTGTTGTACTGATGATTACTCTCATGTTGTGCTAACGATGAAACCGGTGTTGTATTGACGATTACTCTCATGTTGTGCTTACGATAGCAAGGTGTTGTACTGACGATGACTCTCATTTTGTGCTAACTGTGAAACCGGTGTTGTACTGATGATTACTCTCATGTTGTGCTAACGATAGCAAGGTGTTGTACTGACGATGACTCTCATTTTGTGCTAACTGTGAAACCGGTGTTGTACTGGCGTTGTTTCTCGTCTTGTCCTCACGACGGTTCTTATATTGGCCTTACGATAACTTTGGTGTTGTACTGACGGTGTCTCTTATGTCGTGCTAACGATGAGTCTCATGTTGCACTGAGGATCGCTTTCATGTTGTGCTAACGATGATTCTGGTGTTGAACCGACGATGACTCTTATGTTGTGCTAACGGTGACTCTTATGCTGAACTGGGATGACTCTAGTGTTGTCCTGACGACTGCTCTCATGCTGTGCTAACGGTGACGTTGGTGTTGAAGTGACAATGACTCTGGTGTTGTTCTGACGACGACGCTCATGTGGTATCTGCGTGTTTGTGTATCATTGATTTCAGGGCTTAGTACGACCAAGGACGATGCCAGCTCTGTCATGGTACCGTGTGTCACCATCGTTGTCGTGGTCTGTGTTACTGTAGTTACTACCAGTTATGTCAGGTGAGAAAACCTAATCAATGCATGTCTCACTCTCAAGACACCCACAGTGAATACACTTACAACATCGCCTTCTACAGATAGTTCTGCCTAACAACAAGGAACAATATATCTTTTCACAGGAGTTATTAATTAACATGACACTTAAAAAAACCCAAAGAAAATGTTCAAAACAGTAGAAAGCAAGTACAAAATTGACGCATCAATGGTAATGTAAAACAAAGTAATGTCCAATGCAATTCCATAATCTGACTTGTGCAATATGTTTACGTGAACAATTGACTGCCTTTTCATGTGTTTATGATCGGTTCTCCTGGTGATGCAGGACACGTTCACCTTGTAGCGAACATCTTGTATCACCAATATTCTATACTGATTCATAAACACATGCTGTAGTTGGAATCTTGTGATTGTGGTGAAGGTATTTTCTCTAGTCTTTACAAATGGATATATTCCATCTAAGACTCAGTGAGACATCGCACTGGTTATAATCTGGAACATAACATATCGCTATATGAGTGTGAGTGAGTGAGATGGGTTTAACGCAGCTTTTAACAGTATTCCAATTATTTCACGATTATGATTATGACAGCTTACATTTTCCCGAGGCAAGGGAGTTAACTGACTATAAAAGTCGAACAAGGCTGGAATTACAATGCCCGGTCGTAGCCCCACCAGTGACTGTTCCGAGTTATGTCCCTTCGATGTCACCTTTATTGACCATTCAGATTCTATCTCTCATATCACGTGCATTTGCTTCAAACAAAATGGCGGCGCCCAGTCAAGATGATCTGATCGATAATTAAGATCTATATTGTAATTAAACCGGTCTTAACACGCGAAGTGCATCAAATCACTTGAGCACCTTAATTAAAAACATGAAAAGATTTGCAAAATATCTGTCGTTGCCCAGTTGACGGTACACATACCTTGCAAATTCTGCAGTCGAAAGAAAGTTAAATTCCGTGTTGTTCACTTATCGGATGTCTACGCGATTTTGATTGGACAATGCATAGACTCGTCAGTCCAACCAAAATGTAACTCCGGAATTCCAGCCTAGTTCGGCAAGGGTGGAAACTGGACTCAGTTAACGCCCTTGCCTCGGGAAGAATAGACTGTATGGCGAGAGCGATTAGTTCCAATAGACAACTTTTCCTTTTATGTCGAGCAATATTCAAACAGCTCCAACCTTTGCTGCCTACAGTTCACAACTTTTGAGGTACAATCATGTTCTTTTTCCCAAGATTTGGACGGCTCTTCCTCAAAAGTTGTTTGACCAGGGCCACAACACTTAAGGCCTTAGTAAACTATTCTAAAAGTTTTATGGTCGACATGCGAAGGACATTTCTATATTTGATGCAGTTCCCTATTTTGACTTGTACCATATGTTCCGGTGAGAGTTCAGGCCAGCAATGGGGGCTTGCCTTTGTATGTCGTTTTGGTGGAGGATACGCTCACCAAATACCTCGTATCTGCACCAGTTGATACTGATTCACAAACACATGATTAGGATTTCGCATGAATATGGTAATGGCTTTGTCGTGTTTATCTGTGAGTTGCATAAGGGGACCATTATGGATATTCATTAATATTAATTCCATTTTGCCCACTTTGTTTTGTTATGAATCTTGTGTCGATATCGAATGGTTATGATTCAGGTTGGAGTTTACTGGAACAAAAGACATTGTCTTCTTTGTTCTTTTGTTTGTGGATGTGACTCACAGTAGTTGAAATCTATTTCGGGGTTTTCAGGTTAACAAACACGAATAAGTTTGTTCTAAAAGATATTCGTAAAACGCTGACATTCCCACAGGCATTTCAGTCATATTGGGGACGGACAATTTGACATGGAGAATATGGAGTCAAGATATTTTTTAGAGCTACATCTATAAAACCATGAGACTAATTTAAAAAAAATCATTTTACAACAATGCATTTTGGTGGCAGATAATTTCTTCATTTTCAAAAAGTATGATTATAATTTTCAAGCATCTTCTGGGACAGTTTATTTGATTTCGATAAAACCCCAGACCCTCCCCCTCCTCCCCCCCCCCCCCCCAAAAAAAAAAAGAAAAAAAAAAGAGAAATGATCGGTCTCTGAATGTCATAAATATATCATTGACTTCTCATACATAAGTAACTATATATAAAACAGGGGGCACGGGTGGCCCAGTCGTCTAAGACGCCGCAATTTGCTATGCAGAGTTGCGTCCCTTGGGCACGCCAGAAACCTATGATTGTGGGTTCGAATCCCGGTTCGCCCTAATTGTGCTTCTAGGTTTGTCAGCACCATACCCGTGGTCGTGGGTTTCACCGAAGTGGTAAACGTCTGAGACCTGCATCACTTAGGGCTTTCCTCACACACTAAGCTGACACGCCGCGATATAACTGGAATACTGTTAAAAGCGGCGTTAAACCAACTCACTCACTATATATATAACCTACGAATGTTTTCTATGCAATGGGTAAATAAAACCAGAGCAGACTTTTGCAACATAGAAAGCACATGCATTGACTGTCAGGTCATGAACATGTATTACTCACTTTGATAAATAAAAACATAAATCCCCATCCCCGTAGCTATAACGCAGGGCTAGGATAAAGCACATTTTATAAAGGTAGTTTCATTTCAATGTTGTGAATATCACTTTTGTAACACGTAAGACTTAATCCGTCGATAAAACGCAACTAGCTTCCTCGTTTCTGAACCAAAGAGAAACTGATTTACAAACAAACAATTTCCTTGTTAGTTTTAAACGTGTTTACGTTTTAATGTAACCCAGTACATTGCCTTATAATTATAAAATGTTTTGGAAGTAACAAGCTAAACATTAAAATATAAATAAAAGCGACAAAACCCTTTCCGTATTCATAAGAAATCTCTGCTAAGATATTGTACGATTCCGACTATGTCATGAGCATGTGTCTATGAATCACTATCAAATAGTGGTGATACGTGGTGTTCGCGAAAACACATGCAAACGCAACTCAGTTGTTTATCTAAAATACACGGGAACATATTGTACAAGTCAAAATAGCCTTAGGTTTGGTAACTCCCAATCTGATGACTGACATTGGGGGAGTACCCGGGTTTGCTACCAGGAATACAGACCCTCTGACAATCTGGGTAATGCAGAAGGCTGCAGTACTAGTGTTGGGGAGTCTTCACATTCTACGAAAAGTTCTGGTTGGGTTCGACTAGCTATAGGCAGCGCTTCCTTGGAGAAGTCCCATTCGCTGTCTGGGCTGCGTGTAGAGGGGGCAAAGGCCCTAAGCTGATGATGAGCCTAACCAGTCTGACTGTGCCAGGATCACCCAAACCCTCTTTGCTTTTTTATATTTTAATCTGTACAAAATAATAACAATAATAATACTAATACTACTAATAATAATAACTAATTTGAGATTATAAGGATACCCACATTCCCTGACTTATTCCCAAAAATTACGTCATTTAGAATTCATAAGCTGTCACTTATTACAATTTCCTATGAATAGTCTTACTTTCTGTTATACATTTTCCAACTTCTAGAATAGCAATATTATATTTCATAACGTGTGACAATATATTCGTGTGTTCAAAGGATGACAAATTTATACGATAAATTGTGACGTCACATGACAATCATTTACCTGAATGTATGCAATAGGGTTTATGAATTCACCCGACTGCCTGTACATGTTGTGCAACGAAACCGGAATATGAAAATAAAATGTTTGTAAAGAATTATTCATTATAACTTATTGAATATGCACATACCGCAGCAGTGTGTGTGGTAACAGAGCCACTACCGTCCATGGTGAGGCAGAGCGGGGTGGATTCCATCTTCAACTGTGAACTGGTAGACTCGGTCTGCAAACAGGGAGGGACGCACCAAGCGAGGATGGAACACACCGTTATCTTTGTCGCTGTGATCTGCCTGTCTCACGGTATGTATCATTTCCTTCCGTGTTTATTTTTCAAACTGAAGACTGCATTGTGGGGAAAATACAAACAAAACTTGTTGACACAGTATTACTCATCAATACAAATGACAATACACACATCCACTTCACTCACGGCAAGTTACATCCCGGCATGAACCAGTGGTGGGGCGGTGTGTGTGTGTGTGTGTGTGTGTGTGTGTGTCTGTGTGTGTGTGTGTGTGTGTGTGTGTGTGTGTGTGTGTGTGTGTGTGTGTGTGTGTGTGTGTGTGTGTGTGTGTGTGTGTGTCTGGAGTGTGTGGGTTTGGTGTGTGTGTGTGTGTGTGTGTGTGTGTGTGTGTGTGTGTGTGTGTGTGTGTGTGTGTGTGTGTGTGTGTGTGTGTGTGTGTGTGGAGTGTGTGGGTTTGGTGTGTGTGTGTGTGTGTGTGTGGGTGGGTGTGTGGAGTGTGTGAGTTTGGTGTGTGTGTGTGTGTGTGGAGTGTGTGGGTTTGGTGTGTGTGTGTGTGTGTGGAGTGTGTGTGTGTGTGTGTGTGGAGTGTGTGTGTGGGTTTGGTGTGTGTGTGTGTGTGTGTGTGTGTGTGTGTGTGTGGAGTGTGGGATGGTGTGGGTGTGGGTTTGGTGTGTGTGTGTGTGTGTGGAGTGTGTGGGTTTGGTGTGTGTGTGTATGTGTGGAGTGTGTGTGTGTTTGGTGTGTGTGTGTGTGTGTGTGTGTGTGTGTGTGTGTGTGTGTGTGTGTGTGTGTGTGTGTGTGGAGTGTGTGTGTGTGTGTGTGGAGTGTGTGTGTGTGTGTGTGTGTGGGGGGGGTTTTTGTGTGTGTGTGTGTGAGTGTGTGGGTTTGGTGTGTGTTTCGTGTGTGGAGTGTGTGGGGTGTGGGATGGTGTGTGTGTGTGTGGAGTGTGTGGGTTTGGTGTGTGTGTGTGTGTGTGGAGTGTGTGGGTTTGGTGTGTGTGTGTGGGGGGGTTTGGTGTGTGTGTGTGTGTGTGTGTGTGTGTGTGCGTTTGGTGTGTGTGTGTTTCGTGTGTGTGTGTGTGTGTGTGTGGAGTGTGTGGGTTTGGTGTGTGTGTGTGTGTGTGTGTGAGTGTGTGAGTGTGGGTTTGGTGTGTGTGTGTGTGGAGTGTCTGGGGTGTGGGATGGTGTGTGTGTGTGTGTTTGTGGAGTGTGTGGGTTTGGTGTGTGTGTGTGTGTGTGGAGTGTGTGGGTTTGGTGTGTGTGTGTGTGTGGGTGGGTTTAGTGTGTGTGTGTGTGGAGTGTGTGAGTTTGGTGTGTGTGTGTGTGTGGAGTGTGTGGGTTTGGTGTGTGTGTGTGTAGTGTGTGTGTGTGGAGTGTGTGGGTTTGGTGTGTGTGTGTGGGTTTGGTGTGTGTGTGTGTGTGTGTGTGTGTGGAGTGTGTGTGTGTGGAGTGTGTGTGGGTTTGGTGTGTGTGTGTGGGTTTGGTGTGTGTGTGTGTGTGTGTGTGTGTGTCTGTCTGTCATGAGTGTGTGGGTTTGGTGTGTGTGTGTGGGTTTGGTGTGTGTGTGTGTGTGTGTGTGTGTGTGTGTGTGTGTGTGTGTGTGTGTGTGTGTGTGTGTGTGTGTGTGTGTGTGTGTGTGTGTGTGGGTTTGGTGTGTGTGTGTGTGTGGAGTGTGTGGGTTTGGTGTGTGTGTGTGTGTGTGTGTGTGTGTGTGGGTATGGTGTGTGTGTGTGTGTGTGTGTGTGGGTTTGGTGTGTGTGTGGAGTGTGTGTGTTTCGTGTGTGTGTGTGTTTGTGGAGTGTGTGGGTTTGGTGTGTGTGTGTGGAGTGTGTGGGTTTGGTGTGTGTGTGTTTGGAGTGTCTGGGGTGTGGGATGGTGTGTGTGTGTGTGTGTGTTTGTGTGTTTGTGTGTGTGTGTTTGTGTGTGTGTGTGTGTGTGTGTGGAGTGTCTGGGGTGTGGGATGGTGTGTGTGTGTGTGTGTGTGTGTGTGTTTTTGTGTTTGGTGTGTGTGTGTGTGTTTGGTGTGTGTGTGGAGTGTGTGTGTTTCGTGTGTGTGTTTCTTGTGTGGAGTGTGTGGGTTTGGTGTGTGTGTGTGTGTGTGTGGAGTGTGTGGGTTTGGTGTGTGTGTGTGTGGAGTGTCTGGGGTGTGGGATGGTGTGTGTGTGTGTGTGTTTGTGTGTTTGTGTGTGTGTGTTTGTGTGTTTGTGTGTGTGTGTGTGTGTGTGTGTGTGTGTGTGTGTGTGTGTGTGTGTGTGTGTGTGTGTGTGTGTGTGTGTGTGTGTGTGTGTTTGTGTGTGTGTGTGTGTGTGTCGAATGCACCTTCACTGGACAATGGCCTTAAACAAACCTATGCGCTTACCTTGCCTTTCATTTGAATACTTAAGATAATTGAAATGACTTTTTTACTACAGTATCCACAGCATCCGCTGCATCAACAACTGAAAACGACCAAGCCTCAGTTACAACATTAAATACTACGACACAGGTGACCACAGCATCGGACACGACATCTACAGAGAACACGGCACCCGTAACCACATCATCGCCCAAAATATCTAAAGAGACTACAAAACCAGCTACCACGGCACCGGCGACCACAACAACGACCATTACATCTACAAAGATCACAACATTGATTACTACGGCAGCGGTGACCACAACATCGCCCATTATATCTACAGGGATCCCAACACCAGGTAATACTGTCATCATGTACGATGACTTCGAAAGCAGTAAGCTCCAAGTCAGCAAGAAACAAAACAGGAACCACATCATTATATATGAGCACAACATTACATGCTGCAACACTAGAGATAGGTATAGTTTACACAATTTTATTACTTGTCGGTAATACGTGATGCGACCCGTGAAGATCCGGAGAGGAATAGGTCTTCAGCAACCCATGCTTACTGTAAAAGGTGACTAAGCTTGTCGTAAGAGGCGACTAACGGGATCGGGTGATCAGGCTCGTTGAATTGGTCGCTGCATATCCCAATTGCGTGAAAGGATGCACATGATGTCAATCATTTGATTGTCTGGTCCAGACTCGATTATCTATTGCTGAGTGCGGCGTTAAGCAACACACAAACAAACAAGAATACACGATGCAGGTGTGTACGTCAAAGCTGGAATAGTGCTGCACTGAGAACGCATAATATTTTGCAGACAGCGAAACACAGCATATCGGTCATACTGGAACATCTGGCCCAACGTGCCACACATTTCAATAAACTGAAACTTATTTATTAGCCGTTACATTTTATACGGGGACCACACCAGATACCTCGAAATCAACAACTACCGTTGTACCGGTTGCAAACTCATCCATCTTCAAACATACTATACTTGCTCCGAGTGGTATGATCTCAAACTTTCAACGCACGCCTTTTTACGCTATTTGACTCTGTCAATAGTTGCTACTACGTCCACTACTTTCATACACAGTTGGAGCCCGTTCGACAACATTTTCACGAACGTATTGAGAACTAGTTTAGTGTGATGGGGGTATCAGGTCTGCCATAAGTGACTGAGTGAGTGAGTACGGTTTTACACGGCTTTTGGCAATATTCCAATATCACGGCGGGGGACACCAGAAATGGGCTTCACACATTATACCAATGTGGGAAATCGAAAACGGGTCTTCGTCGTCCATCTCATTAAACAATGTTCAAATCGCAATATTTGAGTAATGGGAGGATTTGGCATTGTGCTCGACATGAATGATGTCGTTAAACGTACTATGTTAGGTCTAGCGTTGTTGTGTTTGTTTATTTGCTGTTTAATGCCGCACTCAGCAATATTCCAGCTATATGGCGGAAATGTGTAAATAATCGTGCCTTTTTAACGTTACACTGACATTAACGAAAGGCCGTATGAGTAACCACAGTCGTACAATCATCTTTCTCCTGACAAATACTAAATAATTTATAACTGAAACTTGGTTGCAATTTCCTCTAACTATTTGTGTTGAATTATATCATCGAAAAGCTAAATCACATGCTTCTAATGGTAGTGACATTAAGACTTTGTGTCACTGATGTTCGCGCCATGTATGTGTTGTGTTATACTATGTTGTGTTCTGTGTTGTAAAGTGTTCTCTCTGTTGGTATTTTCAGGGTGCCGTACAACATGTACCTGTGCCTGTGACAATGCTGCACTAACGACGGCTGCGGTGTTGTTATTCGTCGCTGTCGTCGTCATCTGTGCAACAACAGTTACAATCACTCTTGTCAGGTATGTCATTACGACTTTTGTATAGCCTGAGAGTAAAAACATGTCAATGTATAGGCTTAATATTACAGAATGGGTAAAACATGTCTACATTCAACAAAGTAAAGATAATGTATGGATAACAACTTCTTTATTTACAGTAATTTAGGCGTCGTTACGGTATAGATCCTTATACCGTTGTCAAGCAAGGCTGCAAGGCTCTATAAATTATTTCTACTTTGTCATCCGTCAACTTCTAAGTAATGCCTGTCAAACAATTCATGTCCATATACAGGCTTAATCTTACAGTAACAGTGAAAACACGTCCATACATAAGTGTCCCTCTCACTGTAAGTGTACATAATTATCCAGACAAGAGAAAAGTGCATTCTCCTGTACAGATAACTCTAGCTCCATAGCAGGTTACATTATAATTGCTCATTAGGGGCGGTCGGGTAGCCTAGTGGTTAAAGCGTTCGTTCGTCACGCCGAAGACCCGGGTTCGATTCCCGACATGGGTACGATGTGTGAAGCCCATTTCTGGTGTCCCCCGCCGTGATATTGCTGGAATATCGCTAAAAGCGGCGTAAAACCATACACACTCACTCACAGTCACTATAATTGCTCATTCAAATATAATGATTGTCGTTACTCAATAAATGGTGCCAAGTGACTCAGATATTAATTAAGTATACAAGAATAATTCTTTTGTTTATGGGTTTCTATGGGATTTCCTCACCTCTCCCCATCCCCCTTCCCACAAACACGTATACACATTAAATTAACACGCTGAGACAACTGAAATACTTCTCAAGCAGCGATAAAACCCAATTAATCTTATATTTACAGGAAACGACAAGGAACAACCAGAATCAATTCTGAAAAATCTGAGCCATGCTTTTCAGAGATAATGTTGAAAGATTTGGAGGGAGACCATATTTACGGATCATTGTGTCACGAGAAAAACCGAAGTGGAAAAGGTTCACCTTGAATCACCCAGTGCTGGTGTTCGCCCTGCTGATTCATTCTTTGTTTTATTTGGAGAAGACCACAGTTACACAATCTCACAAAGCAGATTTAGAACACGCATGGGATTTAATCGCATGTTGTATGCCACGCTTGTTAAGTTACACTCAAGGTATATTCGTAAAAATATTTTTGTTCTGTGCGAGAATGATATTATAATCTAGATAAAGCCAAATTAATTTGAATACATTACTATGTATATCATTAATGATTTCTATTTTGGAACTGTTATCAACAGGACGCAATAATATGTTGTGATGTCTTTTCCGTGTACTTTTCATTGTTTCTGATTTTGTACATGTTATCGACCACGTTGGGCGATATTTCCTCAGATTTCAACAATTGGTATGTTACAAACAGTGTTCTATGTGAACTAACTGTACATATGTTATATTACACATTTATATACCGCAGGTATCCAGGTACTTGTATCTAATCAAATGCGTTGTTTTGTTCCCCAACCATTGGATTCCTTTGCATTCCACTTCTCATTCTCAAGTCTCTGGGGAGTATACAGCCCACGCTGCCAACGGGCGCAAGAAGGTGTTTACATCCACCGCACCTACCGGGTACCCATTACCTGCTGGGTGAACAGAGGCACATTTGAACGAAGTCACTTGCCCAGGGTGACGACCACACGTTTTGACACGTGTGTATGTACGCATTCGTGTTTCCGCTATCTGGTTTTCAACCATCGGACGAGTGGGTTGTTTTGAGCGCACAGGGTGAATGTAATGTACACCTGTAGTTATGTTCGAGTAAGTATGTACTACAGACACACTTGGAAATTCAAACCGTTTATATTGTCTTTCAGTCAGCAAGAAAAACTACCACTTAATGAACCGTGACATGCAAGAAGGTAAATAAATATAACCTGAAAAACCTTATGATGATAATTTGTTTCATAATCTTTGGATTAAAGTTTATGCATGCAGCAAAATTTAGGATCATACATTTATACTTAGATGAAGCAATTCTTTGTTCATCATATACTTTCCAGAAAATAGGTGTTCGTAGGCGACCTGTAAATAATTGACTCAACCCCAAGCAATCCAGTGACTGGGGGCACGGGTGGCCCAGTCGTCTAAGGCGCCGCGAGTTGCGTCCCTTGGGCACGCCAGAAACCAATGATTGTGGGTTTGAATCCTGGTTCGTCACAATTGTGCTTCTAGGTTTGTCAGCACCATACCCGTGGTCGTGGGTATCACCGAAGTGGTAAACGTCTGAGATCTGCATCACTTCGGTCTTTCCTCCCACATTAAGCTGACACGCCGCGATATAACTGGAATACTGTTAAAAGTGGCGTTAAACTCAACACACTCACTCACCCACTCAATCCAGTGACTGAAAACATACGACCCATGCCATCGGATTGCAGTGGCATGCAAACAGTCAAGTCGCACAGTTGTAGCATACAGTAGTCGGATCCTACCTCAAGCATGAGTACTGGGACCTTTGTCAGACTTGAAACATCACAGGGTTGATTTAGATTTTATGATATAAACAATATTACGTGTATATTTTTCTGTTAGCCTTGAGTTGTGCAAATGGATTATAATTATGCTAAAAAGATTGTAGTTGGGAAAGGGCTGATTTAATACTGCCAACGCAATAACCATTGTGTTCACATGGCTTACAATGATTGTCTTATGTACAGTAAACTACGGTTATAACGAACACGCCTATAACGAACTAACGGATAAAACGAACTAACTTTTTAGTCCCGACTATATGCTGTAGTTATGCTGTATATATGCTTATAACGAATTACGGTTATAACGAACAAAATTAGTAGTCCCTTTGAGTTCGTTACAACCGTAGTTTACTGTATTTACATTTGTATGCGGTACACTTGATATAACTGCGTGCTTCAATACATTCAAGAACCTTCAAATGAATAAATGTATTCAATGGTTGCATTTAATGTCTTGGTGTTTTGTATCCCAAAGAGGTTGGCAAGCATCTACAGAGTATAAAGGGATGTTGAAAATGGAAATATTACACATCAGAAAACGAACACTAACAATCACAAAATATTTTATTGAAGACCTAAGGCAGTCATCCATATTTGTATGCATGTAATCACTGACCTACAAAAACAACAAAAAGGGCAGAAACATATCTGGTACTCTTTCCTGTTTACGTGCTCAGCGCTTTGAGAGCGTTTGGAGTGAGTGACAAGGGTTGTGGCGGAAGTCCTTCACATGTATTTCACGTCCGTTTACGGGTTTTTTATTTGAATAATTTATTTGGGCTGATGAATAATATCAATATCAATTTATCTGCACGTATGCGTTATATTTTCACAATATAGATTTCTCCTTGTTGGTTTTTGTCAAACATTGCGAACATTTGCGACATATTCAATACAGTTAATGTCAGTGAGGGGAACTGGTCAAATTTCAGTCAGGCTGTCAGAAGACACCATGGCCACCGTGCTCAGTGTTCTCTTCGTATTGATAACCATTCCGCATTCAGCAGGTGAGATGAATAATAATGAACCTCTCTGGTTATGTGTGTCTGACAAACACAGGTTTGGTTCAAAGTAGAATATAAAGAGGCTCATAAACAATTCTTGATCTTCATAGTACTGGCCTACGAATGGTCGTTGTTCATTTGAGTGTTGTGGGGATCTTTCTGGTCAGAATAGGTACCAATACACCATGCTTTTGGGGTCTGGGGTCAGAATCGGTACAAATACAATTTGGGATGTTAAGAATAGAAAGGAAATGACATATGTTTGATGACTTGTACAGTTAAAGTCAAACAAACTTGATGTCGCATATTTTCTGACGCTTGTTTGCTGTTTTTAACGCCACGCTCAGCAATAGTTCTGCTACATGTACATGTAACAACATGTATCTACTCGGTTTAGTGCTCCGTAATATATTGATGCTCACAAAAATAACCCATTGCTTTATTCCTTTTATGTCTGTTGCAGCAGTGGCGTCAACCATCTGCAACGCAGCCACTGCCACGCTGAACAACGGTACTTCCACACGTTTTTCAGTTAAACGCACTGTAACGACAATTTATGAAACGGCTTCTTTGTGTATTTTAGCATCACCTTTACGAGGTCGGTGGACAACTTGTGCCTAAATACATGAAACTTTTAGTCTTTGTATTCATGTTCTTCCACCTTCAGGGGCGGTCGGGTAGCCTAGTGGTTAAAGCGTTCGCTCGTCATGCGGAAGACCCGGGTTCGATTCCCGACATGGGGACAATGTGTGAAGCCCATTTCTGGTGTCCCCCGCCGTGATGTTGCTGGAATACTGCTCAAAGCGGCGTAAAACTATACTCACTCACTCACTCACTCTTCCAACTTCAAAATGCCCATGAAAGACTGCTATTGCCTACATATAATAAGTACATGTGGCCATATGTCACACCTGGTCAACAGTTTTACTCCGAAACATGACAGGAGAGGGCCCATGCACTTTGCTGGTCGTCAGAGGCGATTTTAAGAATTGGATGGGATGGTCTGGCTCTCCGACTTGCCTTTTTGCGTGTCGGATTAACCCTGCATATCTTCAACAACTTACTTCAAAATATGTCCATGTTTGACAACTTCGTTCAACGGCCAGACTCGTATATATTCAAGCCCTCGCGGTGTAGCCACAGAATTGCTGATAACGGCTTCAAACGCAAACACAATAATCTGAATCTGAATCTGAATCTCTCAAAATTTTGAGAGCGCTATATACAGTGCGCTTTAAGGGTCTCGCCGGGACTAAACCGGAGCAAACAATTAACAACGGAGAGAAAATCAGCGGAGCTCCGGCGAGAAAGCACTTGAAAAAAATTGACCGTAGCAATACCAATGTAGTACCGGAGTTCCCGTTGAAATACCGATGCAAACTTCCTACCGTCGCCTGCCGTTGCTAATTTTTTCGCCGATGTTCTGACGATGTCCTGACGATGTACTTCCGTTCTTAGCGATATGATACCGTTGCGCTGCCGTACCCTACCTGAAAGTCACCAAATTTGTGCTCCGGTATAGCTCCGGCGACCCAAATCGGCTAGGTGTTAGTTGGTTGGTTGGTTTGTTGTTTTCGCCGCACTCAGCAATATTCCAGCTATATGACGGCGGTCTTTAAATAATCGAGTCTGGACCAGACAATCCAGTGATTGACATCATGAGCATCGGTCCACGCAATCGGCTAGGTGTGACAGGCCCTTCAGCCATGAAGGTGTCATTGTAGATTACACTTTAGTTATTGCAATTACATATTAATGATATATAATTAATGAAACGCTTATTCTTTCAGACGGTTGTCATGACAATGCTATTGTCAAGTTCCTTATGGACCGTATCCTCCTGTTATCACTGAGTGTCCTACTCGTCGCAGTCTGTGTAACCATGGTGATCGCCTTGTGTGTCGGGTAGGGCAGGTTTCTCACTACACTTCCAATGTCATTTACGTCACATTGACAGCACGTTGACTGCTATTGACTTCACATTGAGTACACCTTTACTCAGAATTTACGTCACATTGACAGCACGTAGACTGCATATTGACTTCACATTGAGTACACCTTTACTCAGAATTTAGGTCACATTGACAGCACGTTGACTGCATATTGACTTCACATTGAATACACCTTTACTCAGAATTTACGTCACATTGACAGCACGTTGACTGCTATTGACTTCACATTGAGTACACCTTTACTCAGAATTTACGTCACATTGACTGCACGTTGACTGCATATTGACTTCACATTGAGTACACCTTTACTCAGAATTTACTGCACATTGAAAGCACGTTGACTGCTATTGACTTCACATTGAGTACACTTTTACTATGAATTATTTGCACATTGACAGCACGTTGACTGCTATTGACTTCACATTAAGTACATCTTTACTCAGAATTTACGTCACACTGACAGCACGTAGACTGCTATTGACTTCACATTGTGTACACCTTTACTCAGAATTAACTGCACATTGACTGAAAGTTGACTGTATATTGACTTCACATTGAGTACACCTTTACTCAGAATTTACTGCACGTTTACCACTTAGGTGAAACCCACGAGCACGGGTATGGTGCTGACAAACCTTGAAACATAATCGAGGCGAACCGGGATTCGAACCCACAATCGCAGCGCCTTAGACGACTGGGCCACCCGTGCCCCCACACAATGAGAGAACATTGACTCTAAATGGACAACCATTGACTGCATGTTGACTTCATATTGACTACACATGAATGCATACTGACTGTTAATTAACTGACAGGGACACAAGTTATGTTGCAAATATTCTGAAAAAAACCCGTTGATTAAAACCTAGGAAAATGGATCAAGGAAATAACATATGATTAACAGCACTGAGGAAATGCAAGCAGGCACACACGTTACCAGGCGGTTAACAACTTTCACAAACATAAGCTTACAAATCAAATGCTATATTTATGATAACACATTCTGAGTAGAGTACAGAATCTCGTACTTTTTTTAGTTGAGTTCCGTCCGAGCGATTAGGTGCCTCACTCTGGCAGTGTGGGTTCGAATCCCGGACAGGACTCAACCCAAAAAAGTACCAAAAAATACGAGAATCTGTACTTTACTCAGAAAGTATTATTCCAAATATAACATTTGTTACATTTGACCAATTTCTAAATGGCATTGTGTGTTCATAACCTCAGATGTCGTCAATATTGGCCTTTATGAATGTATGCTGAGGTTGAGGTAAACTAATATAGCCTACACGTAATGGTTGATGTTTCAGTGCTAAAGAAAGGAGCAAAGAAGCAAGGGTCGTAGAAGAATGCCCCTCCAAGTCTGGGAGGCGTGGACATGCTAACAGACTGGACGTGTATGAGCCAGCGGATAACCTTGCCTACACACCAGACACTACATGTGTGTCTGGAACACAAATATATACCAACAGTGAATATGAGACTGCCCCTGAAGGCCAGGGATACAAACCTGGATACGACATGTATGAAAACACCACCTCCGACAGACCCTGTCTGCCTTGGAAGAACAGTAGCGATATGTATGTCGATATGAACGCCCCTTCTGTCGGGGACCTGCAGTATATCAACACACCCACTGCAGACACATGTAATGATGGACTCTATACAATTGTACCGAGCCACTACTGAAAGCGTTAATCCATGCTGAGTAGAAATAGCAGTGACTTCTTTACTTTCTGTTCACAATTTTGAATATGTTTAATACTTATATGTCTTGTGACAGAAATGCACATATCATATCATAAGCCATTGAATATATATTTAAAATTATATGATAATGAAACTGGCATATTATTTGATTTTTTATTATGTGATGTTTAACAACAATTTTAGTTACCCTTCATGGAATAAATATATTGAATGCTATATTTATATATAATTGTATTTGTCTTGGAAATAATGACCAACGCACATGCTGCTCAAGGATTTGTTAACCTACGTTGCAGTACTGATGGTCTCGTGCATGTGAATGTTGGTTGATTGAGTGAGTTATTTTGGTTTGATGCGTGACGTGACAGAATAATACCCGAAGTGATCGTTGCATCCGAAGTGGGTGAGTGAATGAGTATTGTTTTAAGTCGTAGTTAGATATTCCAGCAATGTCACGGTTGGGGAAAGAGGCGAGTGAGTGTGCGAGACGAGAGAGAATGAGGCGAGTGAGAGTGATGCGAGTGAGTGAGTGAGTGAGTGACACGTGTAAGTATGTAAGGCGAGTGAGAGTGGGGCAACTGAGTGAGTGAAGCTATTTAGAATTAGAAGAGTGGGTGAGTGAAGCGAGTGAGGGTTAGGAGAGTGAGTGGGGCGAGTGAGAGTGGGGCGAGTGAGTGAGTCGAGTGGGTGAGGCGAGTGAGTGAGTGAGGCTAGTTAGAATTAGGAGAGTGAGTGAGTCAGACTAGTGAGAGTTAGAAGAGTAAGTGCGGCAAGTGAGAGTTGGGAGAGTAAGTGAGGCGAGTGAGGGTTAGGAGAGTGAGTGAGGCGAGTGAGAGTGAGGGGAGTGAGTGAGGCTAGTTAGAATAAGGAGAGTAAGTGAGGCAATCGAGAAAGAGGAGAGTGAGTGAGGCCAGTGAGTGTTTGGAGACTGAGTGAGTAGAGTTAGTGAGTGAGGCGAGTGAGTGAGGAGAGAGAGTGAGGCAAGTAAGAATTATGAGAGTGAGTGAGTGGGGCAAGTGAGAAAGAGGAGAGTGAGTGAGGCGAGTGAGTGTTTGGAGACTGAGTGAGTAGAGTTAGTGAGTGAGGCGAGTGAGTGAGTGTGGCAGGGGAATGAGTGAGTGAGCAAATGAGAGTGATGCGACTGAGAGGGAGGCGAGTGACGTGTGTCAGTGTGTGAGGCGAGTGAACGAGTGAGGCGAGTGGGAGTTAGGATAATGACTGAGGCGAGTCAGTGGGGCGTGTGGGCGAGTGAGTTTGGTTTTAAACCACTTTTAACAATATGACAGTACTGTCACTGTTTGTCACCTTCGTCTGGGCGGAAAGCATATATCAAATCTACAAGTCAATGACAAACACACTGAAATAAGCAGGCTTTTGAGATAACCAATTACACCACAAATTTACTAATGTTAACTTTTAACACACAATCTGTTCAGAAGCAGGACACACCATAAACCAATAGTAAAACCCGAACAATGTTTCGAACAGTTTCCTCATTTTATGAAAAGGTCTTTTGTTGGCTCAGATAGCTTTAAACGGAAGACATGCGTCATGCTGTCAACTCATGGTTGTTGTGATTCGACATTATTCGTGGAGTTACACCTGCAGATAGCTATTGAATCTTATGACTTGCGAAACTTGTCATCCTAAAGTATAGAATAGTATCGTCTCCTTTAATGCTCATAGATAAAATCGCCTCTGTGGTCTAGAGGTAGAGCGTTCGCCCGGAAAGCGGAAGGTCCGGTGTTCGATCCCCGACCGCGTCAGACCAAAAGAGTACTTGTTGTTACCCTGTCTGGCGCTCGGCATTAAGGGGCTCAAACAAGGACTGGTCGGCTCAGAGTCAGTATACTGTGTCTGAGTGGGGTATTCATGTTAAACTACGGCATGGTGTCTCAGTGAGCTAGCACTTTAAATCGGCATCAGTCCGGACTAGTACAAGCAGCCACACACACACACACACACACACACATACACGTGCTTGCACGTCGCTATATAAGTGCAATTATATTGGACGCGACGTTAAACCCCATTTCACCTCACCTCACCTCATAGATAAAGTTCAAAGACCAATGTGACCTCGATATTTACAAGATGGATCCTGTATGAACTTCGGACAACTAGTAGTAGAAGACGTTCCTGTTGTTTATTGCCATGTATGACCGTCTGCAAACTGGTGCATCATACATTCACCCATTCACTTATTCATGTACTTTTCAGCACCGCTGGGGTAGACTAGTAGTGAAAACATTTGTCGTCACGCCGATTGTCCGGGTTCGAATCCCTACATGGTCACAATGATTGAAACCAATTTCTGTTGTTCCCAGCCTCGATGTGGAGGGAATATTGTATCCCGCTTTATGTGTTAATGCGTATGCTATATTTGTATGCAACACCAAGATAAATAAAAGACCTGTGTGTGTGGAAACAAGGAAACATATTTGCCATTAGTCACGTCCTGTTTAACCTATTCATTTAGACGGAAGAGTAATGATGAAGTATAACAGAAGGAAATGTTTGTTCAGCCCTATTTGAGAGGTACAGTTTCCTGGTAGTGCAGATAAGGTGTACCTGTCTGTGTAGGCTGCCAATACCCGAGGTGTGACCCAATCGTCTTGGTATACCTGTGTGTAGGTTGCTCATAACCGAAGTGTGACCCAGACGTGATAGTATACCTGTGTGTTAGGGAGGTTTGACCCAGTCATCCCTGTGTACCTGTGTGTAAGGAAGATGTGAACTAATCATTCAAGTGTATCTGTGTATAAGGTTCCTTAAACCCGAGGTGTGACCCCACCGTCTTAGTGTCCTATCAATACAACTGCGGGCATGTATTTTTTCATCATCGGCGTTGCTGTATCGATGCTTGATTATCCAGGTAAGAATACTTATTATAATAATAATTTAATCAGACATACAGTGTTTTATGACACCGAGGATTCTGACCTTTAATTTGTATCCCATTTCTAAGCACATTATATAACTGTCACTGAATGATTTCGTGTTAATTTTGCAATTGTTAGATCAATTTTTGTTAGGTACTATTAGATTACATTTACACATAAAGCTTAAAAGATCTACCCATTTAAAATTGTACCGTAACAGCTGTGTTACTAAAAAATCAATACAAATAATCAATAAAAATAAAATCATTATAATATTACCTGATGGGCAAATAAAAATCCCAACCAATATTTCATTGATTTTAATCCAAATGAATAAAACATTAATTGATTACAACACTGCAGTATTGTATATATAATCGATGATATATACAAAACGGCAGTGTTGAAATCAATTCATTTTGCAAAACCCAAATGTAACGATAAAACAGCACATGTGGAACACGGCAGTCTTCTATCCGTGTTGTCCGTACCAGGTTGTTCCTTCAAACCATCCAACGACGATGTGTATACAGTTACAGTTGTTAGAAAACACTGTTATCTGATTGTTTGCCTCCTTGTACTACAGTAAACTACGGTTATAACGAACACGCTTATAACGAACTGACGGATATAACGAACTAACTTTTTAGTCCCGACTATTTGCTGTAGTTATGCTGAATATATGCTTATAACGAACTGCGGTTATAACGAACTAAAAATAGTAGTCCCTTTGAGTTCGTTATAACCGTAGTTTACTGTATATGCACATGTGTCATCTCTGTTTCAGTATCGGGCCAAAACGCCAGCTGTAATTCCCAGAACTGTATAGGTAATGTGACCCTGCCTTGTTTGACTCTTGAAGTATATTTTAGCGTCTTTATTGTATGCGTGTTTGTTGATTTACGTGGTTACATGTATGTGACGCGCCCCGAAAAACCAGGTGAGGTGAGGTGAAATGGGGTTTAACGTCGCGTCCAAGATTATTGAACTTAAATAGCGACGCAGTTTAACATGAATACCCCACTCAGACACAGTATACTGACTCCAAGCCGACCAGTACTTGATTTAGCCCCTTGATTCCGAGCGCCAGACTGGGTAACAACAAGTACCATCTTTTAACGTCTTTTGGTCTGACGCGGCCGGGGATCGAACCCCTGACCTTCCGCTCTCCGGGCGGACGTTCTACCACTTTACCATGGAGGCGGTCCGAAAAAACAGTGGTGGACTAGGAAAGTAGTGGTGGATATTGTGAGATATATGGTATGATGATATGTAATCAAGCAAGTCATCAAGCCTGACTGCTGTTCCATTTAGTGACAACTTTTGTTCTTGTATCTCCTAGACACAACCTAGTTCATTTCTTGAGACAGCAAGGTATCATTTCAATGACAATTTGTCCTGGAGGTACCCCACAATTTACAAAAAAATTTATACACAGTCGACAAGCACAGACATATATGGGGGAGTGAACAGTTTAGTGTGAACAGTTTTAACCACAGTGTATGCGCATTAATTTTATTCATTATTACGAGGTGATTTCCAAATTGAAAAGCTCAGGTTATCCCGTAAAACAGTACGTACAGAACTCAGCAAGTGACTATACAAGATCAAGGCATAATAAAGAGTTTATATTCAAAACACAGTGCTCGGTTTTACAATATAAAAGGGAAATACAATGCGACCAATAAGTTGCAGCAACAACAGGGAGATGAAGTAACAGTCTCTAGAATTAATGTAAGTGTCCTCACAAATGCTCAGAATCTTTTCACTGTCAACAGCCTTGAAACAGCCTTGTCTCGAGTCTTGAATACGGACTAGTGTTTGAAGCTGGCAGGAATAATCGTTGTTTTCAGATGGGAAGCAAATACACACTTGGAGAGGAGATACGTCAGATGATGGCCTCGAATCGCCTCCGTATCTCTCTTATATAGGACAAGCAAGCTTTCTCGAAAATATACCATCTCAAGCGATTTTCAAGAAGGACAATACAAGTTAAAGAATATAACACCGACAAAGATACATTGTTATCATCCTGAATGCCCGTAGGCGACTTGATCTTGCAATAACCATAGGCGAAAGCTGAAACCTGAAAGCTGATGCTATTAAGTTCAACTGAAAACACTTAAACACTTGTCTTAATGACAACCTGAAAAGAAAGAACATGTTGTAAAATTATTTACATAGTAACTTCAGTATTTCATATCTGGCAACGATAACGATAATGTTTGTTATTACAGTGAACATAGCAACGAGTAACTTTACATCTGGGGACAACAAAAGCTACACCATCAGCGGCCAGTCAGCCTGGGTTACTGATGGTTTGACGTCAGGGCCGTGTGCATCAGTCTCGTCCCTATATCCGGCATGGAAGGCTGAGTTTGGACAGAACAGGACAGTCAGCAGGATCAAGATATTCTTGGAAGGTATGGTACACCTTAGTACATAGTAGGAACATGACACCAAACACTACCTACAGAATGTAAGCGAATCGTATTTAGCACAGCATTCAACAATGTTCCAAATAATGAGATTTATCATGTAGTTCAAATACAAATCATGAGAAACAGATGATCTTAAGCCTGATGTATCGTCATGCATGTTTCATTGTTTCATACAAAATGTGCATTAATCTTGAACGACGTTAACCCCATTGTCCCATCATCTCAACTCATTATATCCTCTGAACTGCATCCATAACGAACTAGTTTGTCCAACCTCACATTCCAGGTCAACAGGGTGACATACATGTGTTTGTAGGCAACAGAGTATGTCACACTCCGGCCTCCAACTACACATGGATGCCTGAGTATACCCTTGTCTGTCAGGTACCCGTGACGGGGGACTACCTCCTCATGTATCGTGCACCTACAGGAGGGATGCTGAATCTAACTCTCTGTGAGGTGGAAATATACGGTAAATAATCATAATCACTAGAAAACATGCTTCATATTGATTAAAGTATAATAAAAGAAGATAATACGTTATTTGGCCCTTCTTAAGCAAATTGTGTGAATAGCAGATGCTACCAGTAGGACCCTTTTCGCGAACACCTGGTGTCATCACTGATTTTCAGTGGTCCATTCATATAGTTTTCACAACTATTGTGCCTTTTGCGTCAAATGGAGCCCGTTTTGGTGGATAATGAAAATTGGTTATTATCAAGCCTTACGTTTTATATTTACTTTATAATAGATGTTGTGATATATCATTGCATATGTTGCATATTTAATACTTACCCTTCATATATGGGGCGGTGGCCTCAGATACACCAAAACCTCCTTTTCTTCCATATTGTGGGATAAACATGTAATCGCTCCTTGTCTTGAAATGGTCTTTAGCCAAAAATAGGTTTCTTGTATGAACATAATATTTCGAATCTTTGCTCACAATTTCAGCGACGCCTTCTCCAGCAACTACTACCCACGGACCATCTTCCACAACTATCTCCTCCACGCCAGCGATAGCGTCATCTACTGGTGAATCAGCAAGGGACGCCATTGCAACACCGACGATCACCCTGGACACAGCTTCCACAACTATCTCCTCCACGCCATCGACAGTGTCACCCGCTTATGAATCCACCAGTGACGCCATCCCAACTCCAACGACCACTCTGGACACAGCTACCACATATACTCACCTTGAGGCAGGCACACCAGCGATGTCGCCTTATGAAAACAGTCAAACAGAAGCTACAAAGTCTCTTTACTTTACACCTTCTTCTGAACTATACCAGTCATATCCTAGCCATGTTGTAGCTCCTAGTCCCACAGTCTCTCCCGATACCGCATCTATTCCGACTTCTGCCATGAGCTCGAGTCCAACAAACAGACAGAATTCTTTCACTTGGCCAGGCTATAGCCTGTCATCCTCTCAAGGTTCAAGCTCCATGTCTCGTTCAACAACAGTTACTATCAACTCGAATCCAACAGATTCCCAAAGTCCTACGGCTAGCCTCACATCGCTAATGAGTGATGCCATTGAACCTACTACCCTTCACCTGTCATCCCCGAACCTCAGCGCCACAACCACACACAGTTCTCTAAACGTCCAACCATTCCGTTCTACACCCACACTTGCAGTCCTTACCACCACGGCAGTCATCTCGAACTCTGCAACATTGAGTAACCATGATATCACTCTGGCGACCAACGAAGCCTCTACACCGTACACAACATTTCAAAACGTGAGCATCCACCCATCAACGGACGTGCTGACCACAACGGTATCTATGAGTCCTACATCAGCAACAACTACAACCGCGAACTCTGCTTCAGAGACCAACATCCCAGCGACCTCAACCGGATCAGTAACTCCCACACCAGTGACCTCGAAGACCACATTGACTACCATCTTAACGTCAAACGGTGGTACCCCGACAACGACGTCTACAAAACCAGCTACAGATGGAACTACGCCAAACGTTGGACAGGTGTCTGGAACCAGCGCTCCAAGTAAGCACACGGTTACACTTAAACTCGTGTTTAGTCTCAGTTGAGTTGAAATGGGGTTTAACGTTGTTTTCAAGATTAGCAGCGATGTGCATGCAAGTGTGGAAGCTTTATAAAAAGAGTCCGGACTTACCAGCGTTTAGCACTATCCCAATGCGATACCATTCCGCAGTTAAACATGGATACCTCTCTCCAAGCAGATCAGTCAAGGCAGGGTAACAAGAAGTACCATCTTTTACGTGTTTTTATTATGGGACGCGCCCAGGGGTTCGAAACCACTAACTAAGACTAAATTCAAGGGTGCGTTTATACGTGCAAATAATGCCCATCTTATGACTTAATAGCAACTATAACAACATGAGCAAGTTAATGATGTTTCACATGTATTCTCATATTTCAGAGGCAGCAACTCTTACAACATGAGAAAATTTTTGATGTGTTCACATGTATTCTCATATTTCAGAGGAAGCAACTCTAACATGAGCAAGTTAATGATGTGTTCACATATATTCTCATATTTCAGAGGCAGCAACTCTTACAACTTGAACAAGTTAATGATGTGTTCACATGTATTCTCACATTTCAGAGGCAGCAACTCTAACAACATGAGCAAGTTAATGATGTGTTCACATATATTCTCATATTTCAGAGGCAGCAACTCCAACAACATGAGCAAGTTAATGATGTGTTCACATGTATTCTCATATTTCAGAGGCAGCAACTCTAACAACATAAGCACGTTAATGATGTGTTCGAACGTATTCTCATATTTCAGAGGCAGCAAATATGAACATTGTCGTGATAGTCGCAACAGTTGGAGGGTGTGTGGTGCTGCTGTACATTGCTGGAATGACTGTATTAGTGTTGAGGTAAATGTCATCGTACAGACGATGTATACTTAAAGAAATAATTAACTATTAATAATATATACAATGCAGTTTCTAACCTGTTCCCAACAATATTTGGAAACTGGCTTTGTTGCAATTATAATAGTAAATGCATTGACACAATGATTCAAATAGAGAATAATAACAGTTATAGTCTTAAGAGATCCTTTTTGCACAGTTACAAAGATATCTTGATAAATGTATAAATTGAAAGGAATTATATACTAGTATTAATATATGCTCATTAAGGATACGTGCATTATAATAGAAAACCTTAATGATGTATGACCTTTATATTGCAGACAAAATCGAAAGGACGTATATAGACCGGGGCAGGCAGAATGAGACATTGGTGCCTCGTGAACAGGGGTGTCATGATATCAATGACACAGGAAGGTAATCAGTTGGAAGTACACTATTTCTACTGGTGAAAAACAACTCTTAAGAAATCGGCCTTTTGGGGGTTCTTCTGTCAGTTTTGTATGTTTCTTTGCTTGTGTTGTGTTTAACGTCGTGCACTCACAGCTGTATTACGATGGTCTGTAAATAATCGAGTCTGGACCAGACAATCCAGTGATAGACGTCATGAACAGTGATCGACGCAGTTGGGATACGATGACGTGCATCAACCAAGTCAGCGAGCCTGACCACCCGATCCCGTCAGCCGCCTCTTACCATTGGTTGCTGAAGACCTCTTCTAACCCGAATCTTTACAGCGATCGTGTGTCTGCTTGGAACTTTTCGTCAGTCATTAATGCCAGTGAACATTACGCTTCTTTAAGTTGAATAAGTAACAAGTAGGTAAGCTGGTTATATGCATTTCCCCAACTTGTAAGAATGCTGCTGAGTAATTTGTTACAAATATTGCCGAGGGGAAATTACGAGATTTATTTGTTCAAGTTTGAGGGCATGTGTAGTGAAACACGGGTAGGAATCGCCCGCCATGGAATATGGTAGCTGTTGGGTGACTACGTGTTGGTCAATCTGGTACAGAATGCTATGTTACTAAGTACACATAGATCGCCAGTAATGATTGCGAGATATACATGGTGCTAATTTAAAGTTATATGATTATGCATATAGCATTGTCACAAATTTGTATTTTAAATGTACAGAATGTTTTGGACGTAGTTTTTGGAATAAAGATCATGTTTTACGAGAGAGGTGTTAGATTTTACCCCCAGCTCAATATCAATATTGTGTTTCCATTCAAAATAATATCCGGGATTTATAAGTTTACACTTTATAAGAAATTCACAATCATGTACATGCAATCATGTACGCCAAAACATTTTGTCTATGACACATGAATATCACAACGTGCGCAAACTACAAATCCTCAGCGATTAGAACCATGGACTGTATTCAATGCACATTACACATGAAATTGGTATGCACATTTAATGTCCTGATTGAGTTTTAGGAATACATCATCACGACAAGGAAATAGCAAAGTGATAAACACGAGATTATTAAATTACTTTCACAGTGAGTGCAACAAAGTTATCATATCTATAAGTGTGTGGAAATATGGAACCATTGTATAGGTTTCCACACAATCCACACACAATTAAAGCCCAACATGTTTGACACACCCACTTATACAGACTCGCCCACTGATCATGAAAGGCGGATTTAGACATAATGTCTATTCAATCAATTGTCAAATAACAGATTTGCTTTTGTGACAGACGGTACAAGGAAAAGGTGGACTAACATGAATATATTTGCTCGTTGGAGCATAATCCTTTCATATTTTCGTTTCTAGGAAACCATCAATAATCCATCAATTTCCCCGGATAAATAGATTTGATTTATACACCCTTTCTCACCAAACTTGCCCAATACCAATGAACAAAATATTGAATTTCAAAAGTCAAGGTATATCAGTGAAATGTGTTCATGTCAAGACAACAGTGTCTGGTTTGTCTTCGTCCAACATGTCAGAACTCTGTCATCAGTGTTAAAGTTACATGTATCTAAACATAACAACTCAAAACAACGAGGGTAATCTACGTGACTGCTATGTTAATGTTAAACATAGGTGATCAATTGGCACATGACTGCAGACAGAATTCAAAATAAATACTTTGATTTGGGGCTTTATAATTATTTTTGATTCATCGCACACGCTTTTCCTGAAGTACGATAACTGCGATCTACTGAACAGAAAGGATCATCAAAACAACCTACTAGGTGCCACAATAACTCTTTATGCCATGTACAAATTTATGTGAACACAGAATCACATGTTGGCCACCTAATATAATTGCACAATCATTATCGAAGCTACTGTGATAAAACAATAGCCGTCAATGTCAAATAGATGAATCATAAAAGACTGGTAACGTAGATTACAGTAATAACCTGTCTGCGTTCCTACTTAGGTAGTCTTCACCTTGTTTTCCTAGCTTCTTTTTTCTTGTCAGCTCTTGATTTTCCCCTCTGAAATTTGAATGAACCAATTCTGTGATCTAAGTTACTAGATGATGTAATCTACTGTAACACTGAAACGGTTGTCATACATTTATATATTAATGTTATTGTTCAATTCAGAAACGTTTTTATCATGTTAAAATGTTAAGGAAATGAACCGAGGCTTCCCAAATTACAAGTAAATAAAAGTAATCACACAAACTGTAGCAACTTCGACAAATTTATTGTAATCTACGTTACCATGAAAGAAGCTCATCTATAACACTTCCCTATTGATTAAAGCATAATCTAGTCCAGAAATAATCAGGGTATTTCTTTAATAGTTACAGATGTACAAATAAGAGTGTATTGTCAGATAAAAAAGCGACATAATTTGTCACTGCTGTGTCAAATTTGGAAATGTCCTCCACATGTCTACCATAAAACTTTTTGAAAGCTTTACTGAGGCCTTGAATGTTGTAACCTTGATCAAACAACTTCTGTCAGAATGTCACGTTCAACATGCTATAATAGAGCAAATAACCATCTAAGATCAAACCATCATTAACCATCACACCACCCCTCACGGTTTAGTCTCCCTGCAGTATTTTATTCAGTTGTTTTCTCAGTAAACAGAAGACTGATTATTTATAAAGATAACATACCCGCCACCCCGAAATTCAAATGGTTGCTCCCTGCAAAGATGGACAACAGATCTCCTAAATCAATGGTATCTTCTGGTCCTCGTCCTTTTTACTAACCATTGCTGCGGCGACGTCTTTGGGATGACGGAAACAGACTAACTAATATTGACATTTGTAGCTCGTTAAGTAAACACTGCCAACTGCAAGCGACAAGAGCCCAAGAGCCGTCCCAGTCATGTCATTTGTCATGTGTCATGTGAGTCATGTGATTGTACACGACGCCAGCAAATGGTTTCAATTTTATGAAATGTTGTTGTAAATACCGAGAATCAACACCGATAATAGTAAACAAAGACTTACGACACAGGTTTATATTTGTTGACATAAATGAGGACGCTGTAGCTATTTGTAAGGACTTGCCTCTTGGTCCAAGGGAGGCTACTCCAGGTCGTAAGAGGAATGTTGAACGACGCATTTATTATTGATGGGCTCTGCATTACCTCGACTAGTTTTGCCGAATGAGGTTAAAACATAGGTATAAGGTATACAGTTACTAAGGTATAATAGGGCAGGGAGAAGAAATATCTTTAGTAGTAAACGGCGATATTGTGGTTCCTGAATCCTCAAATTATAGCCGCTATAGTCTCGTGGGGGTCATTTGGGACATTGTGACAATATTGTTTAATGTATTTGAATTTTGAATCATATTCTTCATTTCTCAAGTTATAATTACTGTTTCAATCCTTTCAAGCCAGGAGATTTGATAAAGTGTGATTTCAATCGAGATTCATCAAGACCTGAAGTAATTACAGGGCAGGACAGGGCAGGGCAGGGCAGGGCAGGGCAAAGGAAGGAGTAAAGTCACAACGTCAACGCCAGAGAATACACAGTCGAGACAGACTCCATAGGGTGTAAAGGCACACTAGTGACACAATTTTATCAATGGAAGACTGAAAGTAAGTGATGACACTATGTGTTCACGAAGAGGGTAAGCATGTCCTGATCGAAGGGTAGGTAGCATCCTCCACTCGTACAGGTTTCATTAAAAAAGTGCCAGTGCTTAAGGATGTGTGAAAAACTCAATACAAACGTCATAGCATGGGATAACATCTCGCATCACGAGGCGAGGCGAAGCAAGACAGTGATTGAACAGAAACACACCCTTAGGCCAATCTCTTTTCAATGAAAATTAAAACAAAATAATCTTTTCTTACCTCGTATGCTATTTTTGCTTGTTTAAATAATGGTATCATTTCAATGTAGTTTACTCGTACATGTTTACTGTAATAATAAAGCCAGAATGATGTGGGAAGAAAAAGTTGAAGCGCTCGTAAAATCCACCTAATTCCAATGACACTCGCCAGATCATTTAATTGCCATGTTGGCTCATGTGTTATAATTATTATGTTGGTTGGTTGGTTTGTTGTTTAACGCCGCACTCAGCAATATTCCAGCTATATGACGGCGGTCTGTAAATAATCGAATCGTGACCAGACAATCCAGTGATTAATATCATGAGCATCGATCCACGCAATACGGATCGATGACAAGCATCAACCAAGTCAGCGAGCCTGACCACCCGATCCCGTTAGTCGCCTCTTACGACAAGCATAGTCGCCTTTTACGGCAAGCATGGGTTGCTGAAGACCTATCCCATACCGGATCTTCACGGGTCAATATAATTATTATAAACCAGTACTGCTCGACTTACCTACTCACATTTTATGTCTTAAGGCGTTTGGTCCCGCAAACTGTTTGACTGTTACTAATAACGATAAGGATATTAAAATGTAACCACATCATGAGTAGGAGCTTTCCAGATACCACAGTTTGCTGATTAATGGATTAGTTTATCTTTGACATCCGCTGGGCTCCAGATAATTCTTTTGACCATTGAGTATTTTTTCACAAGTTATTTGTGGGCAAACATTTTTAAAAATATGAAATAATGTTGCTTAGAATGCAGGTGATATCTAACTTGTATCTGTTCATGTACTGTCCTAAGAGTCACATGTCGCAAACTCAGAACAGCGACATACATGTCTAATTAACAATAAACGATACGTAGCGCATTTTCAGAAGATACTATAATAGAGTCTATGTGTGGCGCAGTAAATAAGAATCTGTAAAGAAATAAACGTACTCAAGTTGATGAAGGAGCCTATCATAGGATCTATACCGAAACGTCACCATTACAGTAAAAGAAAGAACTTTTTATCCATACGTTGTGTCCTCTTTGTCATCCGTCAACTTCTAAGAAATGCTTATCAAACAATTGATACATTGGGTACTTACGCAGAGTTTTCATATACTACTTAAGTTGCTTACGTATTTGTATTAATTGGGTTATGGTCATTGCTTTTTATTTCTGGAGTTCTGTCAGATGGTTTAAAGCTGTGCACGGGCGTTGAGCTCATGTATCCCTTTAACCGTTGATCTAAAGGAGGGTAAAGTTTGGTGTCAAAGATACACGGAGGGAAATACTTTGTGTTCGTCTTGCACGTTTTATTTGGATACTCTGATGAAACCCCTGCAATCTCGGGTCAGAATAATCTACCAGTACCCATAAATGTCCTTCGAATTTAGGGGATCGCGAATTTATAGACAGATAGAAAATGTAATCCAGTCGCTTCTCTGAAAGAATACAAAGCAAATGCAATACGATAGGCTTTAATAAAAACTGAGCCACTCCAGGTGAAGTTAAGAGAAACGTCTTAAACGATGAATAATAAAAAATACATGTAAGTTAAAATACTTTAAAATATACATAACGCTTGCGATATAAAATGTCGTTTCTAAAATCCCAAATAAGTTTGATGGTTTTGGCGCTCATTTCAAAGAATGTAGGGTATGTCAAAATATAACATAAACACTAAAGTCGTTACGTAAAGGACTGTTTGTCAACACGTGTTACTCCTCTTCCATCGCATTTCGATGGTGTAAACACACTGGTCGGGTGTTACTGTGTCGGTCACTTTCAGCATTGACAGGGGCGACCGTGCATCAGAACACTGGTCACGCTCTTCTATGGGATTTAGGAATGTCGTGTCTGTGATATACGATTCGTTTTCCAACTTACCTTTCAGTTTGTTGCATACAG